ATAGAGGGGAAGCAGTGGATGTAGTAGATCTGAAAAAAGGGGGCTAGGGTCAGCGTGAAGTGAAACCAGCTTTGGGATGGCGCAGAAAGGAGGGAGCGGGGGGTCCATGTGGTGCCATGACGCTGATGCTTGCTTGAGATGCAGTTTAGGTATCGGGTTGAACCTGCAGTCTCAACCACTCCTCATTAAATTCAATTCACCCACACTATAATTCTCATATCATAACAATGACCTGCTTTTTTTTTTTAAATGTTAATTTCTTCTCGAAACACTAGTCCCGAGGGTCCTGATTTATGTAATTGACGATGACAGCCTCCGTCCACCTAATTCCCAACCATCCCTCCGTGCCTTCTCTTGTTAGGACTCCAATCCCCCTTTTCTCTCCTCTCTCTTTTTTTTTAAAGTAATGATGATGGTTACAATACCTAAATAATGGTTGCACACCTGTCTGTTCCATCCTTAATCACAGTTTTTGGTACTGCCGAATGAAGCATCTTTGAGAGGACAAGGCACACATAAGACGTAACGAAGGATAAAAAGATTAAAGATAACTAAATCCTTCTTCGTTATTCATGGCCATGTTTTAACCGCTGGTTTCCAAGTATGGTATCCTAGGAATCAGCCCGTTTATCGTTGTTGACGTGTCAGATACGTAGTGAAGGAGAAAATGACTCGGTGAAGGATGTGGGCTAGGCTTTGCTTTATAGGCCCACGGGGTAGTAATCGGTTTCACGGTCCATTGTCATAGGGTTGTTACCATGACTCAGCAGCCCAACGAGCCAAGCCCAACAAGGCCAGTCTGGGTCAGACACGCAACAATGTTGGTGTTGGCAGTAGGCACCTTGGTTGATGTCTTGATGACACAATTGTTTGGTTTTGGCAGTACCATGGAAAAACTATATATATTTGGTTTTGGGCTGTTGACATTGGTTGGATTTACTTGTAACCAATGTTTTAATTTTAGATGGTAGATGTGATTTAATAATAGTATTACTTTCGATCCTTGATATATAAACTAGTCTGGATTTCAATTTGATTTTAAATACAAGACTACAATCTACTTTATCTCTTATATTTATCTTTTTTTTCCTTCCATAGTAACCCTTGTAATAGTTACACATATTAAATATTTCATCAAATAGTAATTTTAGCAGCTAATACATATGATTACCAAGGGTATTTTAGAAAAGATAATATCTATTTATTATGAGTAACTAACTTAACAAACTCCTTTAATATATTCAAATTAGTGAACTAGCTCTTATATCAAGAATTGATGGTAGTACAATTAAATTATGCTGCTGAAATTGACCTGAAATCGTATGAATATGGATAGGGACACGTAAGCGAAAAGAAAGGCGGGAAAGTAATGCATGGAATTATGGATCCACATAGAAGTAATAATACAGTTAAAGTGAAACGTGAATAATTTTTTTTTTTTTTGGTTAGAATAACATTGAAGTGGTATACTCAAAAGGCTTGCAGGGGAGATGTCAGGCGAATAGTTGGGCCCAGTATTATGTTACTAGCAAGCATGCAGGCAGGTTATCCAACAATTCTGCCCTACCAATGCGCACACTCATTGGCATTTTAGCTCTTTTATCTATAACTGTGTGTCCCTTTTATCTCGAAAAGGTGACATTTAGATAGATGAATTTAGTTTTGGATTTTAAATTCAAATCCGAGCACATTTGAAATCATCTGTTCAGATAGTTAAAAAAAAAAATTGACACTGAAAATAATGAGTTGTTCTGCTTGTATGACTTGGTCACAACATGTCTGGTCAGTAGTATTGAAAGAAGGTGATTATGATTTAAGATGATCACGATAAACTGGGTGATTTTAAAGTTATAAAGACACATTAATAAAGAATTTGCTTAGATCTGGATCGTATCTAAATCTATAAAATTGTAGGTATCAATCTGGTCCGAATCTGACTCCCAACTAATCCAAACATAAAGCTAGTCGTTTTTAACCTAAACAAGAGAATGAGGACGGGATGGGAAGCAGAATGAGATAACGAGATGGTTTACACGCTTCTGCTACGCATCTCTTGTATACATGTATGCCCTTCTTAATTAACAAAAGCTGACCCCATTAGTTTAATGATGTGAAAGCGAGATTGAAGCAAAATGACAATGTTCGATGGCATCATGGGATCGGATGAAATGGTTGACTACTTTCACAGGGAGGGCATGTACAGGGCTGCTAATTTAAAAAGTTTGACCATGGACTTCAGCTATCCAGCTAGAATTATACCAATTTGCCAAATTAACCTCTATAATTAATATCAATTCCTTAGTTACTTCATTATATTAAGGGGTGCATGTGCATGTGAGGAATACTGATTGCACGATATTGTATGCATTTTTTTTAAAAAGTTTTTGGTGTGGCTTCAGACTATATCCAGCCTATATATTATTATTTGCCATGTTTTTAAGTACAGATTAATTTCAAAATTTTGATGTGAATGATTTATTTTATATTCACCCAACAAACAGGGTCAGAATTAAGATATGTACGAATAATCAGCCTGGCAGGGCCTGGATTAACAATGACGCCACCTTCCCTGACCAAAAAGGGATACGCATGTGATTAATTGCAGCATGAAGACCTTAATTATGATGAGGATATCCACAAGTCTAATCAGTAATCAGTAGTAAAAACTTTTATTTTTAGTTTATCGGGGGTGAAGTAAAATTAGCGACATGCACGCGTCATGGTACGTGTAAAAAATGAGGTGACGCCAAAAGCGACAGAAGGAGAAGCATAGCAAGCCGATAACCCACAACACAAGTGCAATGGGGTGAGCCACAGAAGATGATTACTATTGGTATTATTATCAATATTATTTACTGGATGATCATAAAACAAATACCAAAACTAATACTCATCCAATTCTAAATGTAAAATTTATTTTATAGTGTAATTTACACTACAAAATGAGTTTTGTATTTAGTACAAGAGAAGTATAATACAACAGAAACACACGCAATATGATATAATAACGTGCGAGAAAAAGGAAGGAAAAATAGGGAGTGGGTGGGGCTGAGACTTGAAAATGGACCCTACCATGTGGATGGGTTGCTCACCGAAGGCTCTCTGTATTACATGAGGGCCAAGTTTGAAAGCCTCCACAATGGCATAAATAAATTCAAAGACATTGAAAAGGTGGCTAATTAAAGAGGCAAAAAAAAAAAAAAAAGACGAAAGGACTTGTGACCTTTAATTTTGAATTCATCCCACATCCATTACCCCATCTCGTCCCTTCTCTATATATATTTTTTCTGATGTAACTTTTTCCTTTAACTAACCCGCCAATTCAAATAATGGACGTGTAATGTGTTATTATAAATTTTACATTTAAGATATTGATTAATACTGGCAGTGATGTCAATTTTACATTTAAGTTTGATCCCGGCAGGGAAAGCTTGAGATAAAAAGAAAACAAGAGGGAAAGTGTCAATCGGAGAATGGACTTCTTCGGGAGTGTTTGTCAACTCTTAAAAGTACTTCTCAGAAGCATTTTTCTGCAAAACGAGACAAACTCTTCCACATGTTTATTTTGTAAACCGTAACAGCACTTCTGAATTCTTTGGTTTCCATCCAAACACCCCTGAATTCATAAACAACAAAACGATAATCCATGATTTAACAGGCCCATCATTTGAGGAGCTTGTCCCTTTGCCTTCATCTAGACGACGACGCGCCTGCCGTTATTTTATCATATAAATAAATGATGAATGATTAAGATGCGTTCAACCTCCACTGTTGGCTATGCACATAAACTCAGCTTTAATCACTAAAAATAATATACAGAGTGAGATAGTGAGAGACACAATGAGGGATCTGAGAACCATCCCAATCATCGTCCAGTTCGATGCTGTGCCTGATTTTGATGTCAAAACGGCATGTGGGGTACCTTATTCCCAATTTCATCCCCAACCCACTTTGGCGCTCCCCCCCCCCCCCCGGTTCTGCCTATGCTCAACCAACATTATTATCATATTATTTCATTATTTTCTTTTTGCAATTTCTTAAGAATACATATATGCGTGTTGTTGGACTTCAATCAATTAATTAACATCTCACACTGAACATCATTGTTATTAAATTCTGAAGCTAACCAACGCTTTAATCTCTGTCTTCCTTGAGAAATGGGGTGTTTTTCAGAGGCATGCATGATTTCGCTTTCTTCCAACTCCAATCCTCATAATAGCCAATGCCATTATCATCAAATTCCACCTATAAACTACTGCTTTTATTGTTGTGCTTTAAACGCCTTTCACCATTTAAACAAAGCCACGCAAAAAGGCAAGCTTTCTATTCCTCTACCACAATATTTAGTTCCCACCATTCATTAATTCAATTAACTCACTAATAAAGGCCACATAAATAAAATTAATCAAGACAATGACGGATCGCTCGAAAGCCCTGTCGCTTCGAAGACCTATTGCTCACTCTCGACAAATTATTTTTTCACTTTGATTTCTATGATATAAATATATAGAGCAACTTATAAGGCTATAGCTTTTTTTTGGATAATACACTACATGGATCTACCGGTACTGTTAAACTGCCAATATCACGGTTGGTGATAACTCAAAAAGATAAAACCGATATTTTGTCGTTTTGATCGTACGACGTTTGTTCTCGGCTTTTAGCTCATTGTCCTATCATAGTATTCTCCGCTTGATCGCGTGGTGCCATTTTGGTAGATATTGGGAACCAGAAGGGTTGCGGAGGAGAAAATACCAGTCAATGAACGACATCCCGCCAAACACTTGCCCCTCAGTGGTACGAAAATATACCAAAGGGCACGCGCGCCTCTCAATGGTGAGCAGGGTGGGCCCTGCCCAGCTCATCCGAGAAACCACTAACCGGGGCCCGCAGAAGGAGGTGGGGCAGCGCGTGGCTTCACTTTTTACTGTGCCACAGCGAGAGCTTTTAACGGGGTAACATACGATGATGGAGGAAGGAGGACACACTGATTCAAGTCGTTGGGAGGGGAGACAGACAAGCCAGCTAGAGAAGCTTTCCTTTTACCTTTTGAAAAAGCAATGCCAAATCCCATCCTTTAGGTTCTTCTCCTTCTCCTTCTGTGTCTTTGGCTGTATTCTCCCTCTCCTTTGCTGTGACAGAATCACTCTGCGGGGCACGCCATTAACATAGCTCCATGTTTTGATCAGCTTTTGGTGATTGTGTGTAAGTTCTTTCAATTACTACCTCAGCTGCATTGTTATTCTGCATCTGGGTTTTTGTCATTTGTCGTATGCAATGATTTTTTCTTGCGCTTTTGTGATATTTCTGATGCTGCATGTTCTGTTTGTCTTTTGGATTTTTTTTTTTTTATTTGCTTCTGTAGCTGCAAGAACGGCTGCTGCTTTCTTCACTCTGTTGTTCTTGTATTTTATTTCCATTTTTTTGACGTGAAGTGAAGGTTGTTTTCCCACTTTAACTGAAATTGGCAAGGAGGGTACATAAGATCATGAATGTAGTTGAGAAGTTGGTCATTAATGGCAATTCTCTTCCATGATCCCAGATTAATACTTTTTTACAGTTCGTTTTGTCTTTTATATTTTTATTTTTATTGGCAGACGTCTGCATCATTGTCTGCAATTTCCCCCCCTTTTTTCTGACTGGATTAAGACAATCTCGGTTAAAATTCTTCTGCATCTGTATGCTTTTGTATGTTGGCTGAGCTGTGGGGGATAATCAATGACTAAATTAGTCTCTTTTCCTTTCTTTCTCTGTTTGTTTGCTTTTTAATTTTCTGGTTAGACACTGCTTCAAGAACTTAATTTTACATTTGATAGCGTAGTTTTTGGAAATTTAATTGATTAGGAAAAAAAAGTTATTAAAAAAAGCTACTAGAATTTTCTTCAATTTAGTGCTATAATTTTTCTTTCCTGGCCAAGCAGCATCTACTTTAACAAATGGGTTCCGGAAGGATGAGCCATCCATATTCCATCGTATTTCCCAGCTTTATGATGTTTTCACCTTCTTAAGCTGAGCTTGACTGCGGCTCCTCACAAAAAAAGTTCTTATGTCTTGAACTTTGTTTTACTTTAGATTCGGTATTGAGATATTTTTTAACTGACGTCGTCATACAATATTGCATTTTAATTTCAGCAGAGCATTGAACAGAGCCATGACGAAGATCAGCCCTGAAGTCAAAGTCAAGATGCCAATGGAAGCGGTGCCGCCTGTTTCGGCTGATGTCAGCTTTGTTTCTGATTGTTTTCCAAACTATAAACTAGGACCTGATAACCAGATTGTGGAAGAGCCAATGGAGGAAACCCATGGGCCTTCCTTGAAGGATGTTATCGAGCAAGAAGTATCCAACTTGTCAGATCAGCACAAACGCCTCTCAGTTCGTGACCTTGCCAGCAAATTTGACAAGAACTTGGCTGCAGCTGCTAAGTTGTCTGATGAGGTAATTGTATTATCTATAATTATATATCCTTCATCTAAGTCTCGCACTTTGCTTGGGCCATAATTTCTGATGTTGTGAAGAATACTAAGTTTTTTCTTTTATTGATTTCAGGCAAAGCTAAGAGAGACACCATCTTTGGAGGGACATGTTCTTTTGAAAAAGCTAAGAGATGCATTAGAATCGTTAAAAGGCCGTTTGCAAGGAAAACATAAGGAGGATGTGGAGAAGGCTATTTCTATGGTTCGTTTTCTTGAGGCAACTTAATTTTATTGACTGCATTGCTCTGCTCAGAATTTGAAATTGCTGGTGTCATAAATTTGGAGGTTAACTATTCGCCGACTGGAGGATGGAAATGTACGGAAAGAGAGAAGAGTCATCCAGATTGATTAATTTTCTTTTCCCACTTTTTTTAAGTGTTCAATTTCTTCTTTTTCCATGCATGTTTCGGGTGTTTGTTTCTGATTATGCTAGGAAATTCATTCTCATCCCGCTTTCAATTCTATCTTAGTAATCCTGAATTCTCATCGTGAACAATCGAATCTATGCAGGTGGAAGCTTTAGCAGTTAAGCTGACTCAAAACGAAGGAGAACTAATTCAAGAGAAGTTTGAAGTGAATAAGCTAGTGAACTTTCTCAAACAGGTCTTCCATGACATCTAAGCTTTGTGCAAATAACTATAAGATACTCATCTGAATGCCTGTGATGATTATGATGATTTAGAATTGAGTTGAGAAATTGAAAGACCCCTCAATCCGTTTATTGTTTCGTTGGCCAACTACTAAAAGTAGTTTATCAACGAACCGATTAACTCGCTTAAGGTGGAATCAGTTCGTTTTAAAAAGTAGTGGTAATTACGCACTTTCAATGATCACCACCCCTCCAAAAAAAAAAGAAAAGAAATTCTAAAGTGTTTTCTTGACGTTAATTTTGTTTTCCAGGCTTCTGAAGATGCCAAGAAACTTGTTAATCAAGAGAAGTCTTTTGCTTGTGCTGAAATTGAGAGTGCTGGAGCAGTAGTGATGAGAATTGGTGAGGCCCTTGAGGAACAGGAAAAAGCTTTCCAAGCTTCTAAGAGACAGGTTCCTTTTGATTTACAACTTTATGAGAACAATTATTATTAAATTGTGAATGGTTCCCCTTAAAACCTAAACATTAAGCATTTATATTACTGAGGATCCTTTTATTCCTTTTAATTCATGATGGCAATTGCACATCGGGAATTACTGAGAATCCTTTGTAAATATAAGCATTTATTACCATTTAAGCAAGTATGCTTAATCTGATTTTCCTCTCTGGCAGGATGTGGAAGAACTGGTAGAGGAGGTTCAGGAGGCTAGAAGAATCAAATTGTTGCATCACCCAAGCAAGGTAACACTGCTTTCTTATCCCTCAATATCGTTTTAGCTACTTCTTGCTTGATTACATTATACACCATGATATAGTAATGGTTTAATCTGATTATCTATTTTTGGCAAGGCTATACATCTTTTCCTGTGCTATGATTTTAATTTTTCATCAACTAAAGTGTATCGCCAGTTGAAATATTTGTAAAGCGATGGGTCAATGATCATTGACGGGACTTATTTTCAGGTGATGGCTATGGAACATGAGCTTCGTGCTCTGAGGGATCAAATTCGAGAGAAGTCCATTTTTTCAATGAAGCTTCAGAAAGAGGTTTGTTGATATCTAGTTTTTACTTGTTTAACTAGGAAGAGAGTTTTACTCTCAATATGGCTGGATTTGATTAGGCAGTTCATATTTTTTCAGCGGCATAATATTTTATGTTTAATTAATTTTCATTTTATTCATCTTCCAGTAATGTTACATTTTCTTGTAACAACTTTATTTTGGTCTTGCCAGCTCACAATGAGCAAGAAGAACGAGAACCAATCTAGTTTATACAAGTTAGATGGTTCTGAAACCTTAGGTTCATACCTGCAAGTCCACCCTTGCTCAGATGAAGTGCCACAGACATCGAAATGCTCGTTCCAGTGGTATCGGTTGTCATCTGAAGGCAGCTGGAGAGAGGTCATTTCAGGTATTTTTCTGCCATTCCTGATTATGTGTATATATAACGTCAGATTTATTCAGATATGTTTGGCTGGTGAGCTTCAACAACTGAATAATCCTCCAAAATTCTGACTTTTGTTATGTTCTTTGTCTGATCTTTGTTGCCATTATTTATCAGGTGCAAACAGATCAGTATATGCTCCAGATCCCTTTGATGTTGGGCGAATCTTACAAGTAGACATTGTCTCCAATGGCAAAAAAGTCACATTAACAACGAATCCTATTCAAGCTGGTTGGTTCTGATTATGGATCTGATCTTAATTTTTGGTTCACTTGTTTCCATATGAAAGATTAACTTCTAATAGTCTATTGTGTAACAGTTTCAGGACTTAGAAGCCATGTGGACTCACTCCTTCGAAAGTCTAATACAGAATTTAATGTATGCTATCCATTCTCAATTTTAAACCCGTAATTTTATATGTACCCGAAATGACAAAACTTGGCCAAATCATAATTTGAAATAAAGCATATGTATTAACGGAACACCGGAACCGCGGTGCGGGTAATTTTTGTTGGTCCATGTAGGCTTGCACATCCCAAATTTTGGTTTGTTTGTTCAATGAGAAATGGTGCTGGTTCTCTTAAAAACTTTCGGATGATAAGTAAATAAATAACAATGAATTTATGCAGAGAATAAGTTTGCGTTCATCATATACAGATCAAAATTTCCTTACTTATAATTAAATCGTCAATTGTAAACATATTCTGATGTGATTAAACATTTGGTCATATACAGGTTGTCATTTCTCAGATGAATGGACAAGCTCACTCATCACATTCTGTTCATGCATTTAATGTGGGGAGAATGAGGATGAAGTTATCCAGAGGTTGGATCACGAAAGCCAGAGAAATTTACTCCCCATCCATGCAGGTAAATATTTTGCCTATGAACCAGAACTGAAAGTTAATTATAGGGTCTATACTAGTTCATTAAGTTCATCTTTGAACCAGAACTTGAGATGAGGCTTCCATTGTTCAAGTTGTGTATAAATCCTGATACCTTAAATTAACAAGAATGTTTCTTCTAACCGTAGCTGTGTGGAGTCCGAAGCGATAGCAGTAATGCTGCAAAGGCGCTGTTTTGGCAAGCTAGGAAGGGATTGTCCTTTGTATTAACATTTGAATCAGAAAGAGACAGAAATGCAGCTATTATGGTTGCCAGGAAATATGCTCTTGATTGCAATGTGAGTCTTCTTTTCTGACTTGAGAATCTTGTCATTTATCCTGAAATGGATCCCTGACGTCCTTACTTAGTATTTGATCTTGCACATGACATTGTACAGGTGGTGCTTGCTGGGCCTGAGGATTTAGTATAGGGGGGCAAACTTTACTGACTGAGAGTTTCAACAAAAGTGAGATTTATCATATTTAGTGCGAGTATACTTACATGTGAACTTGTTTTGTTACAGGAATATATGTTGTTTTTGTGATGGGGCTTCCACTAATTGGGTTGTGTTTGTTGTTTTAGGCATGGGTTTTTAAAATTTGCCTAATCAAATGTTGTAGAGATTTCACGTTTTATAATTATTAGTTCATTTGTTCATGCTGGCTGCTTTGCATTTCGCTGCTACAAAACCAGTGTGGGGAGCTTTCTTCATGGTGATAATGGCTATATGGTGAAATCGTATACACAACTACCATCTGGATGAAGTGCATTTGACAAAGTCAGGAAACAAAAAAAGGAAAAAAAAAAAAAAAGGGAAGAAGAAGAAGAACAGCTTTCAGTCTACTAGTGATCTTATCACTTTTGAATAGAATTTGACGTGTCCCTCACACAGATTTATCTCTTCCAAAATTAACAATAAGTTGGGTAAAAAAAATTAACATGACATAATCATATTTGTAATATTAGACGATGAGACATTGATGTGAAGAAACATTCCTTCTCCGGCAGGTATTAGCAAGATAGAGTGGCTTCAAGTTTCAGTCTTAATTTTGATAAATATTTAAGAATATGAACGAGTCAGCCAACTAAATATCTTTTTTGTATTTCCTTTACCCTCTACCAGCGAGGTGAAGGCTCTCTACAGCAGCGATACAGAAATGAGATTGAATTTATAATAATACTTCTCCGATCTTTAATATAAAACCCATTTAACTAATTTGATTAGATTAAAAAAATTAGGTAAGTTAGTTGATTGTAAGAAATATGATATGTTTTTTCTAAAACACCATAATCATCTTTTTTAATACCCCTCTCCTTCTTCTATTTGATTATGATTGAGGGAGTATCCATAGGGGTAATTTAGAGAAAATTGATAAATATAAGAAATATGTCTTATATTTAGGACAAAAAACAACTCAACAATTGGGTTTTATATTAAGGACCGGGGGAGTAATTTAATAACTTCCAAATGGGACTTTTTTTTTTTTTTGAGTGTCCATGTGACATTTTGTTATATTACTTTTAAAAGTACTTTTTTAATATGATTTCTAACAAATGAAGAAGTTCTTAAATTTGGCCATTCATTGTTTTGTCTTTTCAATTTGATCTCACATAGATAATTCCTGTTCTAATCATTTATGAATTAAATTTTTAATTATAATAAATTTATATCGATCTAGTGTAAATGAAGTTACATTAAAATGCAACGACATACTACCTTCGGTCCTTAATATAAGACCCTCTTTGACTTTTTGTTTGGTCCTAATTATAAGACCCCAATCCATTTTGTCTCTCATATTTATGTATTTTTTTTCAAGATAGTCTTTCTAATAATAATAGTTCTAGCCAATACACTTAATTAGCAAGGATATTTTAGGAATGACAACACTTATTTATTACAAATAACCAACTTAACTTACTTCCTTAATCTCCTCAAATAAATCAACTGGGTCTTATAATTAGGATTGGAGGTAGTATAATTTTCTAATGAATTGTCATTTAGTCATCGTTACATTATTACATATTAATTATTAATTTCACTAATTATAAATAAATATAATTATCAAAAAAATAAGTATAAATATTATTCTTTAAGTATAAAATATTTTATGTGCGATCAACTAAAAAAACTATCCTTCATGCAAAATCAAAATAGTATTTTGGTAAAAAACTTGGTCCGATGAATTTGCCGCCTACGTGCCATCGGGGGACAGTGGTAACATTGACATTTCTTAAAGCTAGCTTAGGTTAGTTATCCTTATTAATTATGACATTGCCTTATATAAATATATATATTTTTAATATAATACGTTCATTGGGGCTTCTCCAACGGCTAAAACAGATCAGTCACGCTGCGCCGTCGGATTATACTTTAAGGATCCAACGGTATAGAATTTGGAAAAATAGGACCGTTGGAAGGGAAGCGTCGCCCCCCACAGCTTCAAAAGGAATGGGTTTTCCGCTGTCCCATCTTCTTCATCACGCTCAGACAGCGGCCAAGGAGAGGGAGAGAGAAAGAGAGAAGGAGAACAATCTCTGATTTCAGAGGGGGGTTTTTCACTAAACGTCGTCCTCGCTTTTACCTCTGGTACTTCGCACTTCTTCAAGTTCGAAATGGCGACAAGAACCGTTGTTCCACAACAAGCAGTCAGAGGTATTGTGCTTTTCTGCTTCCATAATTGCGGGTTTTTCCTTTGGTTATTGCTTTGGTGATACGTTGGTACTTGGGATTTTCTTTCTCTTGGGCCTTTTCAAACGTGATTCTTCAAGGTCTCAACTCTATTGAAATTTATCTAATCTCGTTGATTCCTCTTTTCATGTTTACTGTTCAATGTTTCCTTCCCTTCTTCTGAAGAACGATTTTTTATCTTCTTTTTCTAGTGAGGTTTGGACGAAATTCATGTAACAGTAATTCACAGTTCTGTTCCAGTTATCACATTCTTAATGTACTTATGTTTGGGGGTGATAATCATGTATAGGGGAGGCAGTAGTTGGAGGAGTAAAGCAGCAGAAGAAGAATGGAGCGGTGGAGGGAAGAAATCGCAGAGCCCTTGGCGACATAGGAAATCAGGTCCCTGTCCCTGCTAGGGGTATAGAAGTCGTCAAGCCCAACCGTCCCGTCACCAGGTCTCTATCCCTCCCTCTCTACGCCTATCGGTCTATCTATTAATCTCTTTCTGTTTCTTTTCTTCTGCTTGCTGGCTACAGTCTCGATTACTACTTCGTCTCATCCTTTTCTTATTCTTTTAGGAGCTTCCGTGCCCAACTGCTTGCTAATGCCCAAGCTGCTGCTGAAAACAAGGTTAACTCTCTATTACTGATTTCTCTCCTAAATTTGGCTCTTCAATTTCATTTTCGGATTTTGATGATTATGTGGGGTGCTTCTCAAACTGCAGAAACAGGCTTGTGCAAATGTCGGTGGACCTCCTCCTCCTGTTCTCGATGTGGTTGCTAATAGAGCCGCCCCTAAGCCTGCTCAGAAAATAGTCTCTGTTAAACCCAGGAATGAAGATGTTGTTGAAATAAGATCTGAAGAAGAAATTAGAAAGGAGAAGGCTGCGAACAAGAAAAAAGAAGGAGATGAAAAATCAAAGAAGAAACCACACACTCTCACCTCAGTACTCACAGCTCGAAGCAAGGTTGAGAAATTGCCTAACCTTTAGCTTTCACTCACTTCTTAGTTAGTTATCCATTTACAAGTCCTCACCACCCAACATTCTTCCAGGCAGCATGTGGTGTGACCAACAAACCAAAGGAGCAGATTGTCGATATTGATGCTGCTGACACCGGTAATGAGCTTGCAGCCGTGGAATATATTGAAGATATTTACAAATTCTATAAGCTAGTTGAGGTACCAATCATGTTATGTCTCTTTCTGTTAGTGACCTATTTATTTTAGTCACAGTATTTTGAGATTTTGATTCGTCTTATGTCTGGGCTGCAGAATGAGAACCGTCCTCACGACTACATTGGCTCGCAGCCTGAGATTAACGAAAAGATGAGAGCAATATTGGTTGATTGGCTCACAGATGTCCACTCCAAGTTTGATCTTTCGCTGGAAACTCTTTATCTAACTATCAACATAATAGATCGATTTCTTTCAACCAAGATCGTGCCAAGAAGGGAACTCCAACTGGTTGGCATCAGCGCCATGCTCATGGCTTCCAAGTATGAAGAAATCTGGCCCCCTCAGGTTGGAGTTTTCCCCGGCTTCTTCAGTATCAGTATTGCCACCTTCCGTAAAACTATGAAGAACTTGATAGTTGACTGAGATGAACTCGTTCTTGTGCAGGTTAACGACTTTGTTTTCCTGTCGGATAGAGCTTACACTCATGAACAGATACTCGCAATGGAGAAAACCATTCTGGGCAAGCTGGAATGGACTCTGACAGTACCCACACACTACGTGTTCTTGGTTCGTTTTATCAAGGCATCACTCCCAGATGAGGAGGTGAGTTAAGAGATTTGAGAAGCTAAAGTCAAGTGTGTCATGATATATGAAAGGAAATTAACTTAATGATCATTTGTGCAGCTGGAAAACACGGTGCATTTTCTTGCTGAGTTAGGACTGACGAATTACGGGACAATAATAATGCACAGCCCATCGAAGGTGGCGGCGTCGGCAGTGTATGCAGCTCGGTGCACTCTGAACAAGAGCCCCTCCTGGAACGAGACGCTTGGTCTACATACGGGTTATTCAGAAGAACAACTCATGTATGTGTATTATAAGTAACTTCGTTGTACCTTAAAATGGCGTGATTATGTTTGCTTACCAATGTTATTTGTTGGTTTGTTTGATACTATGAATGAAAACACAGGGATTGTGCAAGAGAATTGGTGAGGTGTCACTCCATGGCTGGGAGTGGGAAGCTGCAGGCAGTGTACAGAAAGTACTCAGATGGGAAGAGAGGAATGGTGGCGCTGCTGCCGCCGGCTAAGAATCTCTTACACTTGGGGGAAGAAGGAAGATGAACACACATGACTGTTGAAATGTGCAATAACCATTTGTTATTGTTCTTCCCTTAGCCCTTCTGCCTTTTCTTATGAGATTATGTTAATTATTATTCTCATTGTTTTCGTGAGATTGACCCATTGGGTTTCATGCTCCTATTATTTTTGTCGCCCCAGACAAGAAATGTTTATTTGATGATTTGTCAAGGAGCATGGTTATATCAGTGTGTGTAATGATTAACAATTACATGTTTACTCTATGCGGATTATGCGGATTTTGAGTTCAATGTATGAACGTAGATACTAAATTATGAAATTTAATTTATTTTTTGCCAGCAATATTTTTTTTATATAATGTGGTTAAAATTTATAAATCACGAGTGAAAATATTGGTTCTATGCAACGCAACGTATTGAAAAAATTGTAGAAAAGTCTCCCATAAAACAAATTTATTGGTCAGAAGGGATCTGAAAAAATTGTGTACGCACAAAATAGCGGATGGGCTCAATATTTAGAAGGGGGGGGGGGAGGAGGAATTGTCATTTTCAGTGCGTTAAGGCCCTCTATTACAATGGGCTCTGACATCAAGATGGATATAAAAGAAGCCCAATAACCTTATCCAATCTTTGTCTTACCAAAAAAAAAAGAGCGTCCTTTAGATGACAGGCAAACTAAAATAGAACAGTCTCCATCACCTAAATCTTTTACTATTTTTATAAGCGAGTTCGAACGCGTCCATTCCAGGGGGCGATCCATTTATTAAATAAGAAAAAAGGTAGACGAGAAGGTATTTTAAATAAATTTTTGTAAAATCTGATACATACAAAAAGTAAAATACTTAAGTTACTTACATCATAAAGAGATTGTATAACAAGACATATTGAAATTTTATAGAATAGGTAGAATCCTGATTAAAAAAGAAGTAAAGAAATTACTAAATTCAAAATAAAAAAATACAATAAAAATATGTTGTCAATTTTTTTTTTGTGAGAAAAAAAATGCCCTTTTATCTTTCAATTTTACAGAAGACTCTAGCACAAGGGCAAGACACTTCCGTCATCTTTACAGGACTATCATGTCACATATAGAGTTAAAAAAAAAAAAAAGGTCAAAGATGAATCGGATGAAAGCTGACTGGGCGGCGAGAAAAGGAAAGGATGCATCATATGATTGGCTTATAAAAAGCAGAGATCAGATGGCTCGCAAATAATTAAAAGCCCTCATTATTAGTATATGACAAATTATGAGGATCCTTTTTACGTTATCACACCACTTGCTATAATTAACTAATCAACGCTTCACATCCATCAGAGAAGCACAGCATCCCGCTTGGGGGGTAAAATTGCGCCACTCATACCCACTACTCTTCCTATGCTTCTTATAGAACACAGAAAAAAAAAATTTTAGTTCTATTTACAAGTCATTTTATTAAATTTTAATATAATATACTATTTTGTCTTATTTATTATAGTGTAGGTAGTTATTTCTTTTAAAATGTGTATATATTAAATATGATAAAGTTAAAAAATTGTTATATTTTAATGAAGAGTTAATGCATTTTACAGTTTTTTTTGACCTGTGTCAAATATGTTAGAAGTGTCTTATAAATAGAATCAGAAGAGTATATTGTTATTTACCCATCTAATTTTTTACATATACAACTCACTGTCAACTAGTAACTCCCAGGACAACACAACCAAGTCATTGATATTTTAAAATGATCAATTTATTATTGTTATTTTTTTTTACATTAACAAATTATTTTCATTTTTTATTTCTTTCAACCATAAATTAAATATAAAAATAATAATTATTACTAACTTTTTGAGTGTCATATTTGGAATCAAAATTTTATTTTCCTGCAAGTAACCAAAATCATCAACGTGGTACTAGTAGTGATATGCATGGTACGATAAATATGATTGATCATTTCCCCTAAAATGAGGTGCAATCTCCCAGGTGCTATAGTAGCATGCTGATTTATTTATTCCATAGTACTATTATTAAAATGAAATAATGGATGAACAGTAGAAGAGAATATTGGGGGCGCCTTGCAATGGTTGATTTCTAGGGGCAATAATTGTGGTGAGAGCAGAAGCAGGGTAGCTAATAATGGAGAGACACGAATTCAAATGGTTTCATGCGTCCAGTTTCTCTTACCCCCAAAAACTAACATTTGGTTCAACCCATTCGCCCTCTCATTTCTCCTATCCGTACCCACCTCATCCTATTCCATTTACTCCTACATTTCCATGCTCTCTGTTTCATCCCCCCCAAAATATTACCCCCCCCCCCCCTCACTTTCTTTCTTCAATTTTTTATTCCTTTTGGTGCACATGTTATTCCACTTCTTAGTTAACGGGCTTGTAACTCAAAAAGAAAAGGAAAAAGAACTAGTAGGTATCGGTCTAGTTCATCCTCTGTGACAGATTCCTTATTCACATTCAAAAAGTCAAAATCTTTATCTTTGAAATTAGGGATAACAGCTATGTGAGCTGTGAGCCAGACGCCACTTACTGTTGTTTCATTCCCTATCTGCAAACAGAACAAGCAAAACCCTTAAATTATAAAGTGAAGAATATCTGCATCTCTCCCCCACTCAGTACATATCATTTTCGTCGTCCTCATCTCCCTCTGCTTCCTCCCTCCTTTGCATGTATTCCCCACGCGCCGCTCCTCCATACATGATCTTCGTCATCGTGGGTGGGACCTATGCGGCTATGCCTTTTGATCTCGCAGAGTGAATGGAATTGGGCCTATTTTTCACATTGATATTGCAATGCATTGGAGTAGCGAGCGTGGAATGAACGCGCCGCCGTAGGGGTCGGAGTGAGAAAATAGAGATGTTGCCCTCCTCACTCTGAAGTTGTGAAAGTTACTAATAAGAACTAAGAAGACCCCTCAAATTCCGGAAAATAAATACCACAATAAAAATGATCGGCAAATAGTACCTTCAATAAAAGCTGAAAAGAAGAAAACAAGATCCGCCTCGATCCTTTCTCCACCCTCCTCTACAACTCCCCGTCCCTCTCCACCACCTACTCCGTCACCACTATCACCACCACCTTCCTCTGAAATCCTGTCTCCCCCGCCTCTCATTCTCATCGAATTCCAGACACAGATTCTACACAAGAATCATATAACATCCCTGACTCTACCACCACTTCCCCTGTTTCCTTTCCATTCTTTTACTTTCCTTGTCAAAACTCAGACATCCAGTTATTTAATCAATATCTTTATCCAAAAATCCAGTCTTTTTTCCAGATCATCCCAACCCAGTGACTGGATAAGAGAAAAAGAGAAATAGTGGATTGGATTTTCTGGGGATCAGATTTGAACGACAATGAGGGAGGACGACTCGAATTGGTTCTCCGGATGTGAAGAGAGACTTCCTTCCCTGGACGATCTCATGCCTCTCTCCCAAACCCTAATCACGCCTGATCTTGCCATGGCTTTTGACATCCGAAACCCCCACAGCCCTCGCCATCAAATCCCTCAACCCCCACCTCCTTCGAATCCCTTACCTTCTCCCGGCAATCCCACACAACCCAACTCTGCTGAATTTGCCGATTCCGCCGAGCTGGGTTCTGGAACCGCCGGTGAAGAGCCCGCACGTACCCTCAAGCGCCCTCGCCTCGTCTGGACTCCACAACTTCACAAAAGGTTCGTGGATGCCGTCGCTCACTTGGGTATCAAAAATGCTGTGCCCAAAACCATAATGCAGCTGATGAGTGTGGACGGGTTGACCAGGGAAAACGTGGCCAGTCATTTGCAAAAATATCGACTTTATTTGAAGCGCATGCAGGGACTATCCGCCGGTGGGGCCGGCGCCGGCGGCGGTGGAGGCGGAGCTGGTTTGGGCGCCTCCTCCGATCCTGCCACTGATCATCTCTTTGCAAGCGGCCCCGTGCCGCCCCATTTCTTACATCCTGCAGCTAGGTCCAATTCCGACCATTTCTTGCCGTTCGTGCCGGTTCCGGCGGCTCTGCAGCATCACCATCCCCACCAGCAGCATATGGCAGCGGCTGTAGCCGCCGCTGCCCATCCCCACTTGCAGCAGCAGTATCATAGGCAAGTGGGGCATTTTGGGTCGCCGCCGAATGGGAGCTTTGACCATACGTTTCTGACAAGACAGCCTCAACCACTTCATAGGATGGGTCAAGCAATGCAGCACAACCCAGTACTTGGATCTGTAGAGGACATGGAATCGGCTAACGCAGCTGGAGGGAGAAAGGTTCTTACTTTGTTTCCCACTGGAGATGATTGAAATTTGGGCTAATAGTGGTAATGGTAATCAGATCATCCCTCTTACCATCTTGTGAAATTAATGTGTGGCGGTGCATAATGCGCTGTTTGAGTTTGTTCACGGTCTTAATTATTTAGCTGTTAATTGTATTAGAGTTCTAGGTAATGCTGGGAGGGTGCTAATTGGTTTTGGAGCCTAGTTGTTATTTGCAGATCCAATAGTTCCGTTGTCTTGGTCTGGTGAGATAATCGGGTATGTCTCATAATAATGGATGATTGGGATTAATTGGTCCTTTAGTAGGTTTGACAGTGGTGTCCTTCGTGTAGACAATCACGTCTGTAATTACGTTGTTGGTCGTAGCTTATTCTCTGACATTCATAATGAATGTTCCTTCTGGGCGGCAACAATATCTGCAAGCCTGTGTCTCTTTGTTGGTTCATCATCACATATTAATGTTCCAGCTTGGGAAGTTCTATGTTGGCATTCATGTCGCGAGTGGCTGAGGCAACAAGTTCGGTATCTGTGAGCCTTCAGGGGGTAATAAAACATGTATTGAGCTCATTAGAAAAGCAAAGAAGCATATCCGGTTGCTTCATTTGGATGTGAATTCCTCCTCTGAATTCAGGAGCCTTTGTTGTGGAAGACTTGTCTCGTTGAGTGTCAAGGTTTTTTGTCCTGCCCAAGTGAGTGAGTTGAACGTTGTTTTGACCCTAAAAGAAGGCTTCAATGTCAGATGTAAGGCTTTCTTTTCAGACTATAATCTTTTGTTTCCACTCGGGTTAATCTCTATGGTCTATGCTACATGAACTCAGATAGACTAGTTTCCATGATTTCTGTGTTTATCCTGCCTAAAAGAAAACAATCAGTTCGTACTTACTTCAATCTCTATTTCTTCTTGCCTGACTAGCTTTACTAATCTACTAGGTACTGAGGCTCCTAGTGAATTTTATGATGCATTTGATCACTAATTTCCTCACTGGTGCCTTACATGCTGTTCTAACATTGTACTTTTAGTTTTATTTCTTCTATTTTCCTTTTGGATTTCGTCAACATCAGTGGAACTCCGATGGAGTGTGCAGCCCATGTTACATCACTCATGAGTATCATACGCTTGCACTTCTGTAAAGAAATGAGGATCATTGGTTTCACTTAACTGGATTTTACAGTCATTGTTTAGATGACTGGCAACATTCCCTCCTTTAGCAGACAGAATCGTTAAACACCGATTGAATTGTTGTAGGAATTTGATCGTTGCCGTACTCTAATTTTTTCTGCAGTCTTTGATTTTGATACTAGTCATGTTATAGCTCATGGTTCTACTTCTATCTTCGTGCCAGAGTTTTCCTCAATCTTCTCTTTGATCCAACTCGTTATTCTGTTTCTTCAGCGCTAATTCAGTAATTGCAGAATGGCGACCGAGCGAAAAGAAAAGTAAGAAAACGCGGGGAATTTGCTGTGGACAATTTTTTAACCGTTGATTTTGTGCATCAGTCCAACAAAAAGTTGCTGTCTCTTTATCCTCGAATTCAGTTAAATCTTTGAGAGGTTAACGAAGAGGGTGAAAGCGCCCGTTAACTAACTAGAAAGCACAAGGGAGTTCATCCCAGTTACATGAACCTGAATGTCATCCCTGTTACCATCTGGGACGCCTAGTGGTGGCACCATAAGGCGCCAAAGCGCCAGCAGAATATTCAGATCCTCTAGAAATTGATCTAAATAGTTTTAAGCTGCCAATGCAGAATTTCTAGTAGTAGGGAGCTAATTCCATCATCCAAAGGAGTTGAAGAATCAGATTCAATAACGAGCCTCCTGTAGCCACGAGACCAAGCTAGTTTCAAGCCACGAAGGATGGCCGGAGCTTCACCTTCTGGGGCACAAAACAACCCCGGATAAGGAGTACAGGCAAACAAGCACGTACATGAAATATTTAAGCGGCCTGAAGATCCATATATGAGTGTTAAGCTTAATCCAACCTTGTAGAGAAACAAGAGATCGCCTTTTCAAGGGTGACCGAAAGTGAATTAAGTAATTAACTGCAATAATCCAAAAGCCGTGGGCGGGGCTGTAGACAAACAAATCGCCATGAAGTAGAATCACCTGGCTTTGGCAACAAATTTACAGGTAGTGGGCTAAAAATGTGAAGAGCATGTGAAATGTTGCCAATTTTACGGAATCATTGCCCGCTTTGACTGCAAGGAAGGAATTAATGGCTGCGTCACGTGGCGTGAAATGAGAGGGAGAGCGAAAAAATATGACGTTTCTACACACTTGCTGCCCAGGCGTTTATTTCCAATGTCATGACTCGTTTAGTGTAGTATGTTCTGGTATGTTTTTGGGTTTGCATGCTAATAACAGACCGCATTATGTTGATTACATATTTGGTTCCATTAATACTTTTGTTGTGTTAAATAAATTCTCGTGTGAAACCTTTTTTAGAAAGAATAAAAGTTTAAGGCTAGGAAAGGAATATAATTAAATCTTAGAAACAAAATACTCGAGAATTTCACTAGGAAACTGAAAGGTGTTTAAATTCTAGATAGGCCAGTAGAATAGATTGCAGGGAAGATAACAAAAAGGAATTATTTAGAAATATAAGTCACTGAAAATAAGATTAATGTACAGCATATATCTTTTTTCAATAAAAGTAAACAGGAACAATTTTATCAATTTAATGTACTTCCTGATATATGAAAATGGGATGCAAGTAACCGGATCAAAGAGCAGGAGTAGGAGCATTGTAATCATGCAGATTCAAACGCAGGCTGACACCACGGTCCACGGCCACTTTCTGGCTGGAAAAAAAAATCCAGTGGCATGCGCCGTAATCTTAATCTTCCCTTGCCTGCTGCCGGTGTGTGGGCCCCCCAACCATATTATCGCCCGAATTGGCTGACTCCCATTGACTAAATTCCACAATTTAAGCCTTTCCGCTCCTCACTACTGTTTTCCTCTGTGTTACCGTCCCCTGTCCTGTACTGCTATTTCTTTTAGAATATATTATTAATTAATTGTTAATTTTTTAATAAAATATTGACTAAAATATATATTTGTTTTTTTAACTTTATATAAGGTTTTACTTTGATCTTTTAACTTTAAAAAGTATACTTTTAATCCTTTGATCTTAAAATTGTTAATCTTAAATAATGATTTTTGGTAACAATCATAGTTGTTTTGAATATTAAACTTAATTTGTTACTATTTAGTAATATTTTATCAGCATTCAGTAGCTTAATATAATCATTTTTTCTTAACAGTTTTAATATTAGAGGACTAAAATTTATTTTTTAAAGTTAAGGATCAAATAAAATCTTGTGTAAAGGTAAAAGACTAAAAAAATATTTCAGCATAAAATATTTGATAATTTTAAAAGAGTATTGCATATTATATGCATAATTCCCATATTTAATAAAAATAGTAAAAAAAATATACATCAATACAATATTATAATTCAATATGGTCAATTAAGATAATATTCAAAATCATTGGAAAAATTTATTATTCTTAAATTTTTTTTTGGTTATGTGCATGAGCGCGTGTAAAGATTAGTTGAAAAATGACCTGTATAGTTTGTGTTAATCACCGGATACGCCCAAGGGGCTACAAGAAAGCCTCCATCCCCTTCCATTCGTTCCCAGATTTTGACACCCGTTTGGATTAGCTATTTTTGAAGAATAAATTTTAAACTTAATTTATAATTATGATTTTGAGAATGCATTTTGTTAACTTCGTATGAATAAATACCCTTTTGTTTGGCCAAAAGGTATGAACAAATAATGACGAAACCATGATTCTGGAGAAAGTGAATTGATATTTTAAAGGGCGTTTGAATTTTCTTTCAAGGAAACCTGAAGAGCATCGCTAGAAACAATGAACGTAAATGCTTAAGCTATAACCATCAAAATTGAAAACAGAAAGGTAAACTGCTACAACCGATACAAGGGTCTACAACAGAACTGAGAAATCAACCTAAACCTGAAGCTACGCTAACTTGGTGCATGCAAATCAATAACTCCTCCCACCCAATTAATATTCAGTAGTTCTGAGCATAGTCAAAACTCAGTGGTTGCTGACCAAATGGAGCCTGCAAATCAACAAGGGAAAGAGATATAACCCACAGGATCCAGCAATGAATTCACAAGGGAATAAGCATATTTAAAACACACAGGCCTTAAGCTACAAAATCCGAATAATGCATAGCGAGACAGTTCAATTTTCTAAGATGTCCTGGCATTTCAAAGCTTAAAGACATAAATAACTCATCAAGCATAATGAAACAATAGAATTAACACTGGCTTACCTGGTAAACCGCATGTCTAAACTGGTCATATGTATGGGCGTACATCATAGCAGCACTTGGCCACTGTAGGTAAGCAGCGTTCACGGATGACTGATTCACTCCTGCGGCAAAGGGACTCATTACGGGGTTGGTCGGGGGTACAAAGCCAAGTGAAGCTTGAGTTTGTGACATATGACCCATCTGATTAAGAGTGGGCTCATATTGAGCAAGAGAAGGCTGAACTTCTGGCAAATTATAGGGCACCAAGTTGAGAATAGCGTTTGGAGTGCTCCTAGCATACCTGCATAAGTGATGTGTTTCAACAAGATGAATAAACTCGTGCCATATTAAATATAAACCCAATTTGAACCACTTCAGCTGCCAGATAGTGGCAAAAACTTGAAAGGAGAAGAAACATAACACATCTTTTAACACAAAAAGTTCTACAAAAGTACTGGAATCCAACTCCCATCAGATACAACGAAATCTCTCTCCTTTCCTCCCTCCCGTATACAGACAATACATGATAACTATGTTTTTTATCCTTCAATTGCACTATATCATAGCAATTAGTCTATAAACGGAAGTACAGCACCAAAATGCATTCTTATACAGACACAACAAAGGTTTTCAAGTACAAACAACACAGAAAAAAAAAAAAAAAGGCTAACCAAGCATTGTTTTGCCCATTTAGACCGTGATATCAATGTCTGGCAAACTACCAAACAACAAGATGCAGAGGCAGAACTAACCTTCCGTAGCTACGATCATAATCAGGATCACTACGATCCTTTTCCCTGTCTCTGAAAATGGCAACTCGAGTAGAACCTATGTCCCTCCCACTATTGCATTTTTCGGAATCCGCTATGGAATTCCTTCTAGTTTCATTTTCATCTTTGTTCTTACAAGAATTTCTTCCATCCAATGGAATCTGTGATGGTGTATGATTCAAATCAGAACTTCTAGAGATACTAAAGATGCGAGCTCGTGCCCGGTCATATTCCTCTTTCCTTTCTTCCATGCTTCTCAAAAAGTTTCCTGTTCTCCCTGCTTCATTGGCTTCATTTACATTGGTTCTGCAGGGTCTCGGCCTAATGGCAATTTTAATCTGCTCAGGTTTATCAATTTCTAGCTGTTTGGCAGGTATTTCAGATAAGCGAACCACAGGGTATCTGCTTTCTGCCAATTTTCTCACCATAATTTTACTTCCATGGCCGTCTAAACCATCCTGAACCATTGTTTGCATGCCATAGTGTTGAGCAACACGATGTGCTGCCAGACGGAGATAAGAAGAAGGGAAATGTTGGAACTCAAAATGCTGCTGATCAGCATTATTCAGAAACCTCTGGATGTCGAGTTCCATCCGCAAAACTAGACGTGTGGAACAAATGAGTACATAATCAATGAACAAATGCCATGATTTATGTATTAAAAGAATGAGGAATATCATAAGAAAAGAACCGTAACACAGTCCACATCAAAATTACCCGGTGAAGATTAAGCGTGCAAGGACTACTACTTTAAGTATATGACAATACGAGAAATGATTTAGGAAAAAAAATCCAACAAAGCCCTGGAAGGCAAGAAGCTCAACAAGAAGTCATATACGGAATATCTAAGCCAGAAGGCCTTAAAAATATTATTAAAATATATACAAGAAAAACAAATCAAGGCATGCTCTATTTCTCTATAAACAAAATTTAACCGCAAGGCAGTCTGCAGAGATCTAATAAACAAAAAACAGATGCATTCTTGTACAATTTCAAATTCTTGGCTACCTTAAGTCACTATTTTCTAATCACATTCTAATTCAAATTGACTGCAAGTTATCATTGTCCGGCTGCCATGAACTATGCTAACAGTGTGTATTGTGAATCATATTTCAAGATGGGGTATTCAGTAAGAAATCCATCAACAAAATTTATATAGTCCATAACAAGTTTCCAAGTATTAAAAATGGAAAAGCAAAATCCAAAATATGTTAAAACATCAAACTTCTCTTTTCTGTCCCAACTCTTGGATTATTTCATCAAAAATTATATTCGGAAATCGTGAAAGGTAAACATTGTATCTTTTGGATGATTAAGCTCTAAATGCTGTGTTTAAAGTGGGTTTGAATTACATTAATCAAGTAATATCCTAGACGGTGTGGACGTCCAAGTCCTCAGTCACCCAGAAATTTTAATACTAACAACAATCTCTGAAGCTTCTCTGATCCTGAGGATAAGATTGCATTCCCCAACAATAGCAAGCTCAGCATTCAACATCGAATTCGGGATTCTCTTTCTCTATTTTATACTAACAGTACTAATCAAAAGGGCAGAGACAACCATCGGAAGTATTCCAGATCAGACATAATCAAACAAATACATGGTTGCAACAAGATTGTGGGATCTTAACCAAAATCTAAGTCGATATTCTATTCAAAGACAACAATCAAGAAAAGAAAAAGGATTAAAAAAACGGGAGAGACCGAAAGCTCAAGTCATTGGCAACATTGATTTCACACAAAGCCCACAAATCGGGGCAATCTAATAACCAAACACCCAAACCTCAAGTCAGATACAACATAAAACAGAGCCCGCAATACGGCATTTAAACAGAAACAGAAAAGGGTGCAGGGGGTACTGACTAGTCAGACGGTGACGAGAGTTTTGGAGAGCCTCAACCAAGAAGGGGTCAACCATTGACTCTTTGTCTTTCAACCCAGAAGTCCCATCGACTGAAACAGATGAAGAATCCATGGCTAAGAACAATCTCCAAAAATTCAATCCGGAAACTTCTTCCCCTTCTTTTCTATCAATCCCTCGCTCTGAACGAGGGAAGGAAAGGTCGGGAGGAAGAAAAGGATTTCTGCCTAAGAAAGATAGACACTTATCTCTTCCTCACCAGGAAGGAAAAAGATTTAATTTATTTTATATGTTGTATTTGGTCAAAGAATGTCCCCTAATCGTTTCCGCCTCGCTTCTTCGATGGGAAAAGACGAGGGGTCCCCGCGTTATCTTCTTGTTAGCGCGAAAATTTGGTGAATGTGATTGTAGTTTGAAGGGCCAAGGGATAAGGATTGATCCTACAAATCTTCAGGCCAAAAAAAAAATCCTACGAACCTAATTGAAAAAATTCCATTAAAATATTTTTTAAAAAAATAATATGACAATAATGAAAATTAGCATTATCATGAATTTAAAGTTAAATTTAAGAGTGTTCACGGGACGGGACAGGGACAGGGACAACCCCGTCCTAGTCTCATCCCAATAATTGAAACAGGACAGCTTTTTCCGTCCTGTGTCCTGTCCCGTTCTAATTGGAACAGGACAGGGACATCCTATCTCTCTTTTTTTAATTTTTTTAATTTAAAAATTAACAATATGGGAAATATAAAAATTTATAATAAAAATTATGTGAGGAAAATATATAAAAATGACGAAACAATGATAAAAAAAATGTTTTTTGTAATCATAAGAGATAAAAAATGAACAAATCTAAAATAGTCACCGCAAAAATATTATGTAATCCGTATAAAAACAACTTATAAACAATTAAAAAATAACAATTGATAAGTATCATTACCAGAATACTATTAAAATGATGAATAAAATAAAGATATAATAACTAAAAATAAAAATATATATTAGTATGGGATTGGGATTGGGATAGGACACCCGTGTCCCGCGCCCGTTCCGTCCCAAAACAATTTTGTTCGTCCTATTTTTGTCTTGTCCCAAAAGTTTTTGAGACGGAATTGTCCCGTCCTAAAATAACTGGGACAGGGACGAAACACAGTTGAACACACCTAATTAAATTCTTGTACCACCATCAATTAAAGATATCTTTATTTTTAAATATTAATATTTTCAGAAGATTAATATGGTTGGAAACAGATCCATATGTGTTCGTGGGGGTTTGGGATGTATTTTTGAGGGGGTGTTTGAATGGAAACTAAATCATAGTTTCAAAAATACTTTTACAGTTTACAAAATAAATATGTGAAAGAATTTGTTTCGTTTTACGACAAAGTGCTTTTTAAAAATGTTTTTGAGGTCTGTCAAACACCCTATAAATTTTTCTTCCATTATCTCAATTTAGTATCCTAATAAAATATTAAATGCAATTGTATTCAATGCTCATTTTTAATACAATAGTTGATACTGAGCATCAAATTATCAATTACAAACAATCAATTCGGCTGATTGTTGATTAATAAAACGTTCAATAAATATAAACTGTTTATATTCAATTTAAATGATTTGACTTATATCCTTTTCTAATTATTTTCAAACAATATACATGCATTTTGATGACTTTGTCTTTTTTAGAATTTCTTATAATCTAAATTTTTTTCTTTTCAAATTATAAGTTTCACTCATCCTTTTTTTTTCCCTTTCTAGTTACTAGTAAGATCAAATAGACGCCAAACAAAGTTTTTTATACTCATATGCCGTCAAATAATTTATATTGATTAACAAAATAATCAGACAAAAAAAAAAGCTAAATTTTCAAGGAGATAATGACTTTCAGATTTTTTTTGCTAGAAGAAATGAATTTTACATTTAAGATTTTCACATATTTTAGAGAAATATTGTGGTTGAGGGAAAATAAATTAGAAAAATATTCTCCACACTATATATTTGAAATTGTCTCAACAATCTAAATTATTGTTATTCAATTTAAGTAATTTGAGTTTTAGTCTCCTATACACATATATATATCCCGAAGCATTTTCACTGCTTTGTATTTTTTCATTAAATATATTATAATGATTACATAATGATTAAATCAAAATCAAAGTAAATTTAAGCTCAATAAGTATTTTATTAAATTTAAATAATTTTAATTTATTTTCTAGTAATTACGTATTGTGAAACTCAACAGGTTTTGGGGAATATATATAACCAGAAACGATAAAAAACAACGAGCAGTATTCCGACTTGCGAAGCAAGGTAAACAGTAGGAAGGAAGGTTCCAGAGTCTCCGTGTTGAGAATTGGATGCCTAACACGTTGATGGTCAAATCTTCTTCAACTCGTTTGGCCGGAAAAACAGAAAAGCTTCATCGACTCGCAACTCTTCATTCCCTGAAGAAGAAATAAGGGAGGACTCGATCGTACGAACTGTTCAATAATCCGCGATTGTTTGCCTATTCGGGTCGGTCCCTCCATCTCATCATGGCTGACCCATCACCGCCTCCCGATGCGAGCTCTGTTGATTTTACTGCGCAGATCAATAACATCCCCAAACCACCTATGGATTCTCTTCTTTTCGCCGATGACGACGATGCCTTCTTTTCTGAAGCATTTCCCTCTGATTTTGACTTAGGGTTGGATGGCGATTTCGAGATTAACTTCGACGATCTTGACAATCTTCATCTTCCCTTTAATGTTGACGAATTCCTTTTCGACGACGCATCCCTCACGCCGTCGCAGATTGGTGATGATAGTCATGGCGTCGCTGATTGCGATAACAATCCAACTTCCGACGTCGCTAGGTTTTCGAATCCGGAGTCTTATCCGCCTACTTGTTTAGATTATTCAGGCGATCAGAATCCGCATGGCTCAAATGAGGCTAAAGTCTCGCCGGAGTCTGATTCTTGCGACCGGGAATCTTCAGGTGGGCCCGTTTCGTCCCAGGGTTCGGCTAACGGTGGGTCGGGTGTTTCTGATGTTACGGATTCACCTTCACCGACCCGATACAACAGGGATTTTACATCTCAGGTTATCGTTGATGAGAACGCGAAGTTGGATGAAATCGGAAGGGGCTCTGATTTGAAGAGGAAGATGGAAAACAATGGAGGAAATGCTGAGGCGAGAACTACTAAGCATCGGAGGTCGTCGAGGCCTGTGGAGAATGTGACTCGAGAGCCTGGTGTTAATGTTACCAATGGGGACGACGAGAAAAAGAAGGCCAGGTTGGTGAGGAATCGGGAAAGTGCCCAGCTTTCCAGGCAGAGAAAGAAGCAGTATGTGGAGGAGCTTGAGGAGAAGGTGAAATCAATGCATTCGACTATTGCCGATCTGAGTGGCAAGATATCATTCGTCATGGCCGAGAATGCCACTCTGAGACAGCGACTGAGTGCTGGTGGAATGGGTCCACCACCTCCAGCCCCGGGGACGTATAACCATCCTCCAGTGCCTACCATGCCTTATCCTTGGCTGCCGTATGCGCCGTATGTTGCTAACCCACTAGGGTCCCAGGTTCCTTTGGTACCAATTCCGAGATTAAAGCCTCAGCAACTGGCATCGGCCTCAAAGAGTAAAGTGTCCGAGCGTAAGAAATCTGAGGGTAAAACTAAAAAGGTTGCCAGTGTCTGTTTTCTGGGTTTGCTATTCTTTGTCTTGCTTTTTGGTGGATTGTCTCCCCTTGTGAATGTTAAGTTTAATGGTTTAGTGGACGATACTAATGGGAGGTCGCAGTATGTAAGTGATAGGTTCTATGGTCAGCTCGGAGGGAAAGTCTGGCCCGTAAATGGCCCTATTAATAGGTCTGAAGGATACAAAGGAGCAGGATCTTCCGGTGGAGGAAGATCTGGTATATTTGACAGGGGGGCTGATGAGAAAGGCCGGAATCTTGGAGAGGAAACACATAAGCAGCTGGACTCACGGCATAAATCGGGTTCAGATGCATTTGTTCATCTGGGCAATACTAGTCAGCCTCTTTTTGCTTCTTTGTATGTTCCTAGGAATGATAAGTTGGTGAAGATTGATGGGAATTTGATAATCAATTCTGTCTTGGCCAGTGAGAAAGCTATGGCATCTGAGACTGATCATATCGCGAGGAATAATAAAAGAGAAACTGGTTTGGCACTTTCTAATTATTGGGATTCTGCATTGGCTATTCCGAAAGTTGGAATAAATAGAGGTGCACATCCTTATTCGTATAGCAGCCCACATGAACAGAGGAAGGCTCTTCCGGATGGTTCAGCTGAAATTTTGAAGGACCATCTGAAGTCTTCATCTGATGGTAAAGTCCAACAGTGGTTCCGGGAAGGTCTTGCTGGTGATGTTGCAATTACCTATTCTAGCTCTTCTTTTCCCCCCTAAATGTCCTTATATAGGTTGCTAAACATGATTGATGCATTTTTGTTGTGATGACTGCGTGTGTACGTGTTTTGCTGTTTAAGTTGGAGATGGCAGCATGCATAGTATATGTATGTAAGTACATTATTGCCAGTCAGGAGTAACATTCGGGCTGATAAAAAATTTTCTTATAATTATAATTAAGAGATGCTATCTAAGCTGGTGCTTTTTAGAATCTCTGACTAGCACTTCTGATTTTCTGTTTATGCTGAAATTATACTTCTGATGGAAGTTGTCAACAATCTTGAATAATCTTCTTAACTTTCAAAGGAGTTCGTTGTTTTCTGTCTACTCTGCGTCTCAAGTGAGTTTACAAAATTTATAGCTATTGCATCCATTAAACACCATTTGCGTAGGAAAAATAAAACAATGTTCATCCACTTGCGTAGTTTCTTATATAATAATTTGAGGATTAAATTTAGATGCAGTTCTTTATATTTTTCATATTAGAACATTACAAGTGTGTGCGCTTTTACAATAACAATATGTTTATTTCAAAAATTGATGTTTCGTCTCTTCTTTTGGGTTGAAATTTTGACAATATCTTTTAGATTCAGAATTGTATTGCCTATCCACCAGCTAATATAGAATGGTTCTTCCCGGCCTTGAATGGAAAGATTTCCTTGAGTCTAGCGATCGAGGGATTGAGAGGAATGTTAGGGGTTTGAGCCCACTAAAAGGTTTTTGTGGCCAGGGTCAGCCACAAACTGAATTGGTCCCACATCTAAAGGCCCCCCCCCCCCCCAAAAAAAAAAAAAGAGAGAGAGGGATCCTTTAGTAGATGGCTGCTTGTACATTGGACCTCATTGCCTTGCTTTAATAAGTTCACACATGACCCTGTTTATCTTCATTTCGTTGCATATTAGTCTAAAGCTATGCCAGCCCAGAGGCGTGTGACCAATCTTGTTCCCTTGTAATATTAAGCTTACTGAAGGTTGTGATTTCCTGATGCAGGGCCTATGTTAAGTTCTGGCATGTGCACAGAAGTTTTCCAATTTGATATCTCATCAACACAAGGGGCTATTGTGCCAGCATCATCAGCAGCCAATGTTTCTGAAGAGAACCACCAGAACGTTACTCGTCTCGGCAAAAGTAGGAATAGAAGAATTCTGCATAGGCTCCCGCTTGCTGGATCCAGCAGCAACGCAAGTGAAGAACGAGGAGGAGGAAATTCACTGAATGACAACTTCCTTGGCAACAAGTCGAAGTCTTCCATGGTGGTTTCCGTGCTTGTTGATCCCAAAGAGGCTGGAGATTTTGATGGAATGATGAAGCCAAAGTCGCTTTCTAGAATATTTGTGGTTGTGCTTGTGGACAGCATCAAGTACGTTACGTACTCGTGTGTTCTCCCTCGCACTTCTCCCCATCGAGTGACTGCTTGAGGACGCGGATCCTTCCTCCGCTTTGACTGAGCTTTGTTACTTGATTATTTGATCTGAGGTGCATTTTCGGTATGAAAGTATCTGAGATCCTGTCTCTACTGTTACTGTATATAAAGTGTTTAGGGCTGACCAACTCGCAGTTGTGAACGGGAACACTGTCTACCGGCACGAGAGACAATATACATTATTCATACGTTTTTTTTAGCGGCTCATTATTAATTATGCGTTTGTACTTTGTTGAGAAGTATAAAGCGGATGTCGAAATTTTAGTGTATAAGGGTTTTACATTTAGGACCAGAACCAGAAGAGTTTTTTTTAGAATTCTGAATATAGTTATAAAAAGATTGAGAAGGTCAGCAACCAAAAAAATGAGTATGCCGGAAAAAAAAAACACATAAAAATAACTAAGCGAAAAGATTTAATGAATTAAAAGAAGAGCTTGATTTCTTCCAAAAGAAATTAGCTTAAAAAATAGTACTGTTTAATTTAAAATATAAAATTTCAATTTATATTATTTTTTCTATTTATCATTTTTTTAAATTAAGTTGTTTAACTTATAATTTAATAATATTATAAGAAATATTTTATGAAGATAATGTTACAGTTGTTAAGACTTGCTAATTTATTAGTTTATCTAACTTATTTAAATTAATTAATCTAAACCCTTTGTATTAAAGATAATATTAACTTTTATTTTTCTGTTAAAGAGTGATTGCTGAAATGGGTTCACCGACGATTTTATGGCTCTTGTCCCCCATCTCCACGAAAATGCTGGAAAGTCACCAGTGCCTGAATGACCTTTGTTTCTTGAATCTTAGATTTGTTTAATGAGAAATTCTCATTTCTCTTGTTTTAAGAGCAGTTTCCATGGGAAAAACAACACGTAAATAAATTTATTATATTTTTCAATATTATTATTTAATTTATATTACCGATACTAATGCTCAATTTATTATTTCCGTCCATCTAAACTGGATCATTTGGACAGATGCTCTTTGGTGGCAATGACGGTGGCAAATATCAAATATATGAATCATGAAGTGCACTGTTTACAATACGGATAAGAAAAGAGAAGTGTCGCAGATCACTGACCGCTCATCTTGTTGGCCTGCAAAGACTGCTAACTGTCTCGCATGGCGACCTTTCCACTAGCTCCCCTTCCCTCCATAATCTCAAGTTCATCTTATTCGTCGGTAAGGTCCTTGCCTACGCGTGCACTCAGAGCCTCAGCCACTGAGCCTTCGGATCCAATTCTTGCGAGTCGCTCGTTGTACCCTCCTCGAAGAGAATTCTTGAAAGGGATTGCACTGCAAGCGCTTCCCCTTCTCTTACTGAAGGATTCATCCCCATCACTCGCTAAAGAAGTTGAGGTTGGCTCCTACCTCCCACCCTCTCCTTCCGACCCATCATTTGTTCTCTTCAAAGCTTCTCCAAAAGATACTCCCGCCCTTCGAGCAGGTACATTGATTCTTTTCTTTCATCCATGCTGCAAACCCTGGCGTTGAATGTTAGGATGTGAGTATTATTATGCTTACCTGTGTTTTACGATTTTGGCATCCACATATATCTTGATCACTGATCGCCCCACAGTTATCAAATAACTTGGGGGTCGTTAAAAAGTCCTGATTTGCGCAACTGGGTGTCTGCTTGTACCGTTGGCTATGTTACTTGATCTGTGAGATACTTCTCTGTTACATATTGAGAATTTAACACAGTGAATGCTGGAGAGGAAAATGTTGATAGTCATGTAGCTGCCATTTTATAACAGTCTTGCTTTTTTTCTTTTCCTTTTTTTTATTTGTTTTGCCCCTTTTGGGTTCACACTTCCAAGAGTTTTGATGCCTCCTTGTTAGAAGGCTCATCAGTTTTCAGCTGCAAATACCAATCATTTGAAGTCGGCAATCCACCATTGTCACTTCAGGGACATATAGTGGTTGTCCCGTCCCCTGTGCCATTTATATATTGCCCCGTCAAATCCCTTAAGATGCCATCATTATAAATTATTGTTCCTTCGGTGTACACATTTTAACATTGCCATTTGTATGACTGCAAGAAGAGGCTGTGGTAGATAATTGCATCGCTAATTTAAATCGAAGTCCCTTGTGAACTTGAAGTTTGCTAAGCTGATACCATAATGGAAATTGAATTCACAAAATCTCAATCCCTAGAACGAGATACATGCTAAAGAGTAAAGACCAGATTCTATATAATGTTGAAAATGAGAAATATTATAAGTTCAACAATCATCAGCAAGGGTAGTTTGGAGCTGTTTTTCCTAAACTACATTGGAGCCTTATACCGGTAAAATATGGCAACTGCAAGAGTTGAGGATAGTTAGGAGATGTTAGATCCAATCTGTGGCTTGCCATCATCATGCTTTGGCTATACATCCTGAATTATGTAATAAAATTAAGAGGTCAAACTGTATCTCAGGGGTTCTACTTCATCTATTATTGTTCTTTTTGAATGATACTCTAGATTTAGCTCTTTGCAGGAAACGTGCAGCCTTATCAGTTCATCCTTCCTCCAACTTGGAAGCAGACACGCGTGGCAAATATATTATCAGGAAATTACTGTCAGCCAAAATGTGCAGAGCCGTGGGTTGAGGTTAAATTTGAAGATGACAAACAGGGGAAAGTTCAGGTGGTAGCTTCTCCTTTGATACGCCTAACCAACAAGCCAAATGCATCCATTGAAGACATAGGGAGTCCTGATAAAGTGATTGCTTCCCTTGGCCCTTTTGTCACTGGAAACACATTGGATCCAGATGAACTGCTTGAGACTTCTGTTGAAAAGCTCGCTGATCAAACGGTACAATCATTTTGTTTTTTGTTAATTATTTTCTAATTATAAGAAGAAATTGACTGCAGTAAATACCAAGAACTCCATACTAGTCTTGTTGACATTGTTGCAAAAGCAAACATATTGAGTTAGAGTTCATTAACATGGTGTCTGCACTCTGCAGTACTACAAATATGTGCTTGAAACTCCATATGCACTCACGGGGACACACAATCTTGCAAAAGCAACAGCAAAGGGAAACACCGTTGTTTTGTTCGTGGCTAGTGCTAATGATAAGCAGTGGCCAACTTCTCAGAAGACTCTCAAAGCCATGCTTGATTCCTTTCAAGTGTAGTTCTCTCTGTCAAAGGTAATGAATGGATTTTTACCATCATTTACTTGCATTTTTTATTAGTTTTGTACAACATTGTTGAGCAAGAGACTGAGGATCTCCCCCGTGGGAACATTTTTGCCATTTTCAGGTTGAAACCCATATATTTTATGTTAAAACACTCCGATATTCCTTCTTTGTACATATCTTTTTATGAGTTAATGACCTATGTTGGGACTTTCTTGTTACATTAAGGCGCTGACGGGTCGATTTCTCTATTAAAATCTCGATAATATAGTGTCATGTATTTATGCAAGAAATCATACAAAAGAACCCTGTGACCTCCCCCACACCCCCCCCCAAAAAAAAAAAAAAGGAAACGAAACGAAAACGCTGTCTTCTTCAAATGCATGAGATGTGAATGGAGGAGATTTAATTTAATAAACGAAAACAGTAGCATTGTAGCGACCAGAAATTACATTGAATCGTTGTCATCCATCACCAAATTGTTTCTGAGGTTTTCTTTCTTTCTTGTTTGCCCTAATTTTTTTAACTGAAGAAAAATATATTCATTCATGAATCCAGTAAGGTTAGCCACAACTTTCTGGTATTTGTCAGGAAGAACAAAAGGAGAAGGATGGGGGACAAAAATCCCAACCACAACAGAACAAATTCCCTTTACAGCTTGATTTGGCTAGCCAATTGGCCGCTCAATTACAGTACCTGGGAACATAGGGGAGTCTAGGATCTGAGCACGTCTTAAACAAGCATGGTAGGTCAGAAAAAATAGCTCTTCAATCAGGACAATAAGCTTGCTCCTTCAAACTCTGCACTAAAGACAAACAATCTGATTCAACTTCCTACTTGCCAAGGTCATGCTCCTTGACTGAAACACAGCTGTGTGCAGAGCTTTTGCTTCACTGTAAAAAGCTGAACAAACTTTGCTTGATTGATTCTAACACTCTCTCTTAGGAATTAAACAAGACATAGCCCAAACCATTCTTTCCAATAAACCCCGGGGGGGGGGGGGAGGAACCATATCGGAACTAGGAGGAGTTACAGGTGGAATTAGCCAAAATTAAATTTTTTGCCCAGCATTTAACATGCTGAAGTAAAGCGATAACAAAATGTATTGGATTCAATTAATCTTCAAGTAAAACTTGAAAGGTTGCCCAGGTTATGCAGATAATTACTGGTCAAAGGAATTGATATGGGTTGCATCCGCTTGGCCAGCACAACTCCAAAATGATATGCTTAAAGAATGATGCTTTATTACTAGATAAGCCACCAACAACTCACTGGTCGATCCAATTCTTTCCCTTTTTTGGGAAAAAATTTTAGTTAAAATTTTATTCAACTCTGGGACAAATTAAAAATGGATCCTATTGTTGGTATCATGAATTTATGATTGGATATGGGGTGTTTGGTTTTCTTAAAAAGTATTTTTTTTAAAAAATTTCATAAATCAAAATAAATTTTTTCACATTTATTTTTATATACTGAAAAAATATTTTTAAAATCATAATTTTGACTCTTTCCAATTACTCTTGAAGTATCATGACATCTGTTCAGCTTGCGTAGGATTGTATTTTCCCCTAGAAAAAAGCGTAGATACGGTGGTTGTCACTTGTCAAGACAGAATCTTAAGCACTGTGTAAGTGCGCGCGTGGGGACTCTAAAACCGGCGGACATCCCTGTACGCACAAGGCACTCTGCCATTGGCATTCACATGCATTCAATAGTCCCGGTTAATCAATTTCTAAATAAAAATTGTAAGAAACTGTATTTTATTCTTATTAAAAAAATTTCTTTCATTTTCTCTACATTTAAATATACTACAAATCACTTACATTATGGATCAAAACTTTTTTCTATGAGTAACTTATATTTATATTTAGAACCCTAAAAATAACATTTATATTATACATATAGCCATTCGTTGGGTTAAATTTTTTATTTTTAAAATTCTCTTACAATTTATGCGATTTTAGATAATTCAAACTAATATATCTTAATCTCGATTTCATGCCCATTCCAATGTTCTCATCATTTTAAAGCGTACATTATCCCCAATTTCCTCTTAACACAATGTTAATCTTTGGAGCGCTACTTCAATCCAAAAAATTTGGCGTAAGCTCCGACGTCATCATGTTCATGGCCGTCATATGTGCTTTTTTTTTTTTTGTTGACAAAATGACATCACAAAAATAAAATTTATATTTTTGTCTATTGCATCCCGAAATGAGAATTTCCTTTCTTTTTTCCTTATGGAAAATTTGAGAATTTTGGTTAGATCCAATGTGCGCCGACTGCTGACTCTTTAGTCCTCATTCACGGGGAGAACAGAGAACTGTTTTTATTTATTATTTAATCATGTTATCTGCATATTATTTTATTTAATTAAATAGAATTAAGATTACATGATTGGTTTACCTGAGACCCAGCGTAACACCGTCTCATGAACATAATTAATGCTGGTGATTATTTTCCCTTAAGTTGAGCTGATTTTATCAGATAATATATGAATAATTTGACACGTCTATGCAAATCAGAACGTGGTGGGTGTTTAATTATATTATTTCTTAGCGTTTTATTTCTGGTTCCAAATTGTGTGATGGTTCCATATTTTAAGCAAAGAAACACATTATTATTATTATTGTTGTTATTGTTATTATTATATGCAGACATAAAACTTTGTTTTAAGCTCTCCCTCCCTGCCACAATTACTAGCCATTATTCTCACAGAATTTAGCTTGATTCCGACGAGCGCCAATCGGAATCATTTATTTATTTATTTTTAAATACTATAAATCTCAACCAACAAAATAATTAATTCATGAATATGCTTTGTTTTCAGACTGTAAATTGATTGATTGATTGATTGAATCTGTGGGTCGATATAATGTAATGGTCATTATTAAATGGTTCTCATCCAATTAAATGAATCTAATGAGTAATTACAATAAAAGAAACAAACTCGAATCAAATGAGTGACTCTGTTCAATTGTAATCATAGGATGGGACAAGAGTTTTGGGCGAGCAATCGCTAGAAATCAAAAGGAAATTAACGTTAAGAGTCCGAAAAAAAAGAGAGGAAATTAACGTTAAAAAATAGAAGGCCAGGCAGCCAATCACATGCCAATCAGGGATAACTTGCTTTACAGCTGTCCCTATTTTCTCCTCATTTTCTATATTTACAATCCTATTTCTACCCCACCTCAGTTTTTTTTAGTTCTGAACTAAACTTAATATGGCTAATACGTCACGAAGCTCATGTTTCTAAATGTAGAAATCACATCATACCCCCTAGAATATATAGATATGGATCCTAAGTACCAGTGTGAGGGTCTTAAAAATACAAATCATGGCACACATATTTTTCCAATTTTATTCGAATCATATATTATTTTAGTTCAATTTTGAGATACAGAGTTTAATTATTTCTACTTTGTTTAATCGTAATTCTCAATTAATTCAAACATACATTTGTGTGTATATATAAATGATACATTTTTCAGCACATATTACCAATGAAAATATGCAATTTTTCCTTCTAGGATTAAGTTCATCTACGTAGATACTGTTGTGTGGAATGCATGGATAATAACTCAAGAGAAATTATGTACTTTATTTTCAGCAAAAAGAGAAATTATGTATGCACTTTATTTTCAGCAAAAAAGAGAAACTATGTGCTTTAAAAGTATAAAACACGTATATAATTTAAAGCAAACTCAAAAAGACATTCACCAAACTCCTTTCAAGACAAAAAACAATGGTGCCGCGGGCCCACCATGTAATCACAGCATGTGTGTATAAAGATAGTGAACGCCAAGGACAAAAGCAATGTGCAAAGGAGGAGCCCATACGTAAGTGGAGTGAGCGGAGATGGAGATAGAAAGCCATAATGCGGCCAAGGGAGCCACCGCCCACCACCACCGCCCGCGACGACGAGGAGGCCTCAGAACTCTGCCTTTCATCCTCGGTCTCCTCCTTCTCCCCTTCTATTCTTCTCTCTTTTCATTTCCTTCCCCATATATGCATATATATATATATGTATATATCTTCCAATCTCTTGTTTGCATTATCTAACTTGCTGCTTTCATAAGCTGCTTCAACTTCAGAACTTGCGACACTTGATGTTCTTGCTTTTGTTTCAGCGCTCAGCTCTATCATTGTTTTCCCACCTTCTCATCTTTAATATAATACCGCCTGTTTGACAAAGCAGTTCCCTTACGCAAATCAATGCTGCGGTGTGGCGTCGTCCATATATAGTACTAGTGGGCCCTTTCCTCGATAATCACTAGATGTCTTATATTGTGTTAACTAACAACACTGTTTCTAATTATAGATAGATCCGATGATGCCTGTCCAGTTTTCTGATCTGAAGCTGATCTCATGGCTGTTGGATGGTTTATTTTGATGATTTGCAGCAAATGAAATATGTGACAGATTTGCAACGGCTGGATTTCATGCAAACCTGATAAGCTACTTGACCCAAGAGATGAACATGCCTCTCGTATCTGCCTCCAACACTCTCACCAACTTCTCCGGAACTTCCAGTTTCACTCCTCTCATTGGTGCTTTCATCGCCGATTCTTTCGCCGGCCGCTTCTGGACGATAATCATCGCTTCTCTCATCTATCAACTGGTCTTCTCTCTCTCTTTCAGACCTTTTTCATTAATTTACCATATAACTGTTATTTTATTGCCTGCTCTGCAGATTCGGAGTTTTTATGCTTCTGAAGATATAGTTTTAAATTTTCATACATAAAAGTTTACGCCATTAACTTCCTTGCACGCACAGGGTTTGATTAGTGCTACTGTATCAGCAGTATTGCCATCTCTGCGTCCTCCACCATGTCCAACTCAGGTGAACTGCAAAGAAGCTTCACTTTCCCAACTTTGGGTACTTTACGCCTCTCTCCTTCTCACATCAATTGGGTCCGGAGGTATTAGGCCTTGTGTGGTGCCTTTTTCTGCAGACCAATTTGATATGTCCAGAAAAGCCGTCGCGTCCAGGAAGTGGAATCTCTTCAATTGGTACTTCTTCGCCATGGGGTTGGCTTCCTTAAGTGCTCTCACTGTGGTGGTTTACATACAAGACAACATGGGCTGGGCATGGGGGCTTGGCATTCCAACCATCGCCATGCTCATATCTGTTATCGCCTTCGTCTTAGGCTCACCACTTTACAAGATGGAGAAACCAAGCGGCAGTCCTCTGCTTCGCTTGCTTCAAGTCATTGTTGCAGCTGTGCACAAGAGTAAGCTGGTTCTGCCCCAAGATCCCAACCTTTTGTACCAAAATAAGCAGCTTGATGTTCATATTTCCTTGCACGGAAGGCTTCTACGCTCTGATCAATACAAGTAAGTCCCCAACTTGATTTTGGTTCAGCTCTTTTACCACATATCAAACATCAATATATCATCGCTGAGTCCATGTCTGCAGGTGGTTGGATAAAGCTGCGATAGTAACAGAGGAGGAAGCCAGAGATGCGAATGCTCCTCCAAACTTATGGAGATTAGCCACTGTGCATAGAGTTGAGGAGCTAAAATGCATAATTAGAATGCTTCCCATTTGGTCGGCTGGCATATTGCTTGTAGCTTCTTCATCACACCTTCATAGCTTTGTGATTCTTCAAGCTCGCTCCATGGATCGCCACCTCTCTCACTCATTCCAAATCCCACCAGCCACCATGTCCATCTTCAGCGTGCTGACCATGATGTTTGGTGTTGTCCTATACGAACGCCTCTTTGTTCCCTTGGCTCGTAGATTCACAAAGAACCCTTCTGGGATCACATGCCTGCAGAGAATGGGAGTGGGATTTGTGATTGGTATTATAGGCACAGTGGTTTCAGCACTAGTGGAAATGAAGAGAAAATCAGTGGCTGCCAAGTACCACTTATTGGATGATCCAAAAGCTACTATTCCTATCAGTGTTTTCTGGCTGGTACCTCAGTATTTCCTTCACGGGGTGGCCGAAGTTTTCATGTCCGTGGGGCATTTGGAGTTTCTGTACGATCAGTCTCCAGAGAGTATGAAAAGCAGTGCTTCAGCTCTGTATTGCATAACCACAGCGATTGGGAGCTATATGGGGACTATGATGGTGTCCTTGGTTCATGATTATAGTGGGAAGGGAGGTAATTGGCTTCCTGATAGGAATATAAACAGGGGGAAATTAGACTACTATTACTTTTTAGTTAGTGGGGTTCAGGTCATAAATCTGATATATTATCTGATATGTGCTTGGCTTTACACTTACAAGCCCCTAGAAGAACTTAGTGAGACCATGAACGAAGAAGATGGTTTGGAACGGGCTGATGATAAATTCCCATCTCACAAATTAAATGATGGTAACAGGGAAGTGGAAGACACAAAATCTTCAAAACCAAGTCCCAAAAGTCCAATGGGATGTGTAAAGCCGGCGCTATAGATAATTTTGGTATAAGAAGCGTTTGACTTGTTTATCTAATCTTGATGTGTGCATCCAGTTACATCATTCTCGTAATCTTAGGAGATATTAGCTCTTATAGTTAATATAAGAATTAGTTAACTAATTTGAATAAATTAAAAAAAATAGTTAAGTTAGCTATTTATAATAAATATAGATTGTCTTTTCTAAAATACCATTATTAATCAAGTGTATTACTTAGAATTACTATTATTATAATGATTACATTAGAAAAAAATAGATAAATATGAATGACAAAGTATAATTGAATTTTTTATTTAGAGAGTGTTTCGCTTCCTCAAAAAGTTCTTTTAAAAAGTAATTTTCCATGAATCGAGATAAACTGTTTCACATATTTACTTCGTATACTGTAAAAGCACTTTTAAAATTATGATTTTAATTTCATCCAAACACTTTTTTAACATCAAATTAAAAATCAAACTTGTCCTTATATTCTCATCTTTATTTATTTATTACAACGAGTTTTGTTCTTCAAATTTTAAGGGTCTCTTTTAATACGTCTACGAAGATTTCAAAATATAATCCGTCCCTGCCTCTAAAGTACCCTGCCCTCAAAAAACATGTTGGCATTAGGCACATGCGCGCATGAACACTTTGGAATTGGTGACAGCTTTCTGTGGGCGCAGAGGGATAAGGAAAAACTAAATCCAAACATGATGGCAAGAGCTAAATAATTAGCTTGGACAAAATGAAAAAGAGACACAAGGCTACCAGTAATCTATGAAATGATGTTTTAACAGTGTTAAATAATCTAAAGCTTCAAAGTTTAAAATAGTTAAGAGGCGATTTAAAAGAATATACCAGATGTAATTAAATCCAGTTTAAGCTATGAAACATCGAAACTTCACAAAGCTTCCATTTTTTTTTCTTTTGTTTTTTTTGGTGAAAAGCTTTCTTCTTTTTCTAATATAAGACAAAGTAGTTTAATCGTACCTGTCGTACAAGATTTAGGACCAATTTAGAATAGCTTATAAATAGTTTTTTAATAATAATTTATAAAATATGAGATAAGTATATAAAAAAAATTTTATCCCAATTTACACGAAACGTGTTTACAGGAGATTTTCACCGTTATCCCAAACAGGCACGTATTCTTCCCACGACTGGATGAGAAAAATTTTGGGACTATTTAATTAACGAAATAGACTTGAGATTTCCGAAATTTCAAGTGTGTTTTTCTTAGGACGTACATGTTGGAGAAGCTGTCACGTGTCTTCTCTCAAATATCTCTGCATTCGATCAAGAGCCATAATACTGAATATATTTTATTTTCAAGGTTTCAATCGCAAGCCCTAATTCTGTCTTTAATCTTTCAGGGATTCATGAACCAAAACCAGATGGAACTCAATCATAAATACGCGTAGTGGCTGAACCCTATTTCTGTCTTTAATCTTCAGAGCACACTGTACTGCGACAGAACAGAGAAAGTCACCCTTGATCAAGAAAAATTTATTTTATTTTACAAGCAAGTTAACTGCATGTGACTTTTGTCCCCGTGAATTACTGCCTCACGGACGCACAGATTCTAGTGCCAAAACCCAATTAATAAATGAATGATCCCCCCTTATCTTTTCCTGCATGTTTTGCTCAAAAAATTAAACATTCTAAAACTGTTATTTCAAAAAATACAAGATTAAGATTGTCCCTGATGCTATCTTCATTTTTGTCCACATCATCACTGTTTGCTTTTATCCTCGAAGTCTTTTCACATTCATTCTCTTAGTATGTATTTAAACAGAACTTTGTCGTAGTTTCCCCTCCCCTACCTCGTAAAGTCTAGTTCCTTGGAAAATGTGACAACGAAAATAACAATAAAATTGCAGCAACTTGTAGGCAGCATTTTGGCCCTGTGTAGAAATATGATTAAAACCACTTATAAACAAGTTTTATCTAAATTAAAATAAAACTCTTCGTACTAATCTTATGTTTTGTAAATTATAATTGAAAAGCTATTATAAGCCATTTCAAACTGGTTTATTTCGTGCTAGTAAAATCACTTCGCAGTGATAACACAGATGCAGACAGAGAAAAGCACTGGAAGAACACCACAGCCAGAAAACAAAGCATAGCATTCACCAGAAGGAAGGCATCAGAACCTTAGTACTTAATTTCGCAATTTCCTATGATTAGTGGGAGATAGAAGTGGAGATGATGAATAGACTAACAATGAAGAAATGTGACAAATAAGCTAAACATGCCAATACAATGACCAACTTCACCGGAACAACCAAATAAGGAGCCTGATATTGCTGTTTCTTTGCAGGGAAGGCTTTTACACCCGGATGACCGATCATTTCAAGTAAAGTTCACTACGTGGTTGACTTGTGGTATTTGGATGTTTTTGAAACCAGCTCCAAACACTGAACAAGCAGGTGGTTGGATCCAAAAGCACCCCAAAGCTTCAGAAGCTTAGCCACAGTGCATAGAATAGAGGAGGCAAACTGCTAAAGTGCACGAATTTGGCAAATTGCTCATAACCTGTGCTTCGCGCCTTCTCAGCTTTGCCATCGAACAAGACTCAATTCAAATCCCTCCAGCCTCCATGCCCATGTTTGGTGATTCACAAGGAATCCTTTCGGTTTCGCATGGGCTCATTGAGGTTTTCGTGTTTGTTGGGTATTTTGAGTTCCTGTGTGATCATTCACCTGAAAGTATGAGAAACACTGCTTCGGCTCTGTACTGTATAACGAAGACAATTGGTTTCCTACTTTCCTCGTAGCAAATCGATAGGGCAGGATTATTGGAGTGCTACTACATGCTTATTATTGGGATTCAGGTCATAGATTTTTTTTTTTTAATTTATTTCTTGATTCTTGATTCTTGATTTGTGTTTGGTTTTAGTGTTTTACCCGTTCAAGTCCCCTGGAAGAGATTGTTGAGAATTTAATGCATGGTTTTTTTTTTTGGGGCCAACTATTGCAGGGCTTATATAATCATTGAACTGCTCTTAAAAAAAATAAAACAACTTATCCAATATTAGAACTAAAATATTTTCGTACATTTACATAAAGGTTGGGAGAACTTGCGTTTGTTTATTTATAATTTGTGAATGTTATGACTTTTTATAACTTTATTAATATCATCATTGATTAAAACTACAAATTATCAGTATACCATTGTTAATAGTTAATACGAAATATGAAATTTACGATGAATTCCACTCCTTAGTTGGCGGAATTTCAAGAATTTAAAAATTTTAAAGGATCCACAAGTGACTACTTTAATTGTCTTACAAATTGTTACAATATGGAGGAAATGCAACTTCTCAATCCAAAAGTTTTTCCTGTAACATTAAAATATAACGATTTTTTTAAATTAATATCAGTATCAATATAAAATATAAAATATATAAAAAATCACATTACTGGCATAATAAATCTTATTCTAAATTTTTTATAATTTAAAAACATTATTCATAAGCAATACTATTTCCAATCTTTAATATAAGAATTTGTTTGATTTTTATTTTAATCATAAATATAAGACCTTAATTTACTCTTTCACATTTATTCATTTTTTCCCTCAAAACAGTCCTTATAATAATAGTAGTTTTGGCTAATACACTTAATTAACACGGATATTTTAAAAAAGACAACACCTATTTATTATAAATAACTAATTTAACTATTTTTTTAATTTACTCAAATTAATTAACTAGTTTTTATATTAAGTATGCTAGTAAAAAAATATATATTAAGTACTGGAGGTAATAATTAATGTTGGCCATTTCTAAGCTTTTCTTATATTTTACTATATCTGATTCTAATTATAAGAGTTAGTTGACTAATTTGAAGAGATTAAGAAAAGATGTTAAGTTAGTTATTTGTAACAAATAAATATTGTTTTTCCTAAAATATCCTTACTAATCAAATATATTGGATAAAACTACTATTTTTAGAAGGATTATTTTGAGAAAAAATATATAAATATGAGAGACAAAGTGGATTGAGATATTATATTTAGGATCAAAATAAAAATAAAACAAAATCTTACATTAAGAACTGATAGTATATACTTTATACTGATGACATTTTTTTTTGACCCTGATGATATTGATTTTCTGTGCCGGAAAAAAAAAAAAAATTTCACCCCACAAATGAAATAAGTTTGCCAAGTGATTTTCCAAGCGAAGTCGAACATGTCCGGAGCGAGGTGCGCTCGTCGGGTTTAACCGGCATCGGAACTACTGTTGAACGCTGAGACTTTCGGATTTCAGAGCATCTTCCAATTTCTTCCCCGAAACTGCCTTTGTTTACTCAGAGAAGGAAAAGAAACGCAAATTCTGTCTCCCAGATAGATGGCAGAGTTGTCCATATGTGGCAATACCAGTAGCCCTGAGCTGACCCCAGAGGAAGAGAGGATTATGATAAGAGACATTGCCCTCGCTGCCGAAGCTAATATCAAAGAGGGGGAGACCTTTTACTTGATCACACAGAGGTTCGATTCCTTTTTCTTTCCTCCTGTTTCCCTCTTTTCTCTTTTTCTATTTTGTTCCGCTGAAAATTCTTAGGTTATTCTGACGCTTCTTGTGAACAATACAATGCTCCGTGGGAGAAGCTGTTGTTTTCTTTGTTAATATATGGGAAAAAACCGGTTTTGGAGGACCAAATGGTAGTAGAGAGCTAAGGTTGGAGAACTGAGTAGCACAAAGTGAAGGGGAATCGTAGCATTTCTCCGCCGAGTTCTGTTTTGGATTATAGAACTCTGACATTGTTTCGATTGAGAAAATGGTGCGCTGTCAGAATTTGCTGATCCCCACCCCGGGGGTTTTATTCTGTGCTTGGACCCCAATTTTATTCTTTTTCTGCTCATTCGAGTATAAATTTTTGAAGATGGCCAATAATTTTCTGTTAATTGCAAATTTTACACAATTCTGTGACAATAATAACAAGTCTCATAATTCACTATCAAAGCGGGGGAGGCGGTTCAAGTGGGTATCTCTTAGATTTAGTCTGTTAGGCAATGATGCTCAATGGGTGGCTGTAATCTCTGAGCCCTCTAAACCTTTTTCCATTCTGTGGAGCACTGAAGTTGAAATCTAACTGTTCTGACTCTGCTGTTGGTACTGCAGTGATTCACGAGTCAATTTCTTTGTTATCTGGGTCGTTGTGCGTCCAAATTGATGTTCAATAATTGCTTTTGTATGTTTATTGTAACTGATGTAATTTAATATCTTTTTCCTGACTTTGTAATCCTCTCTCTTCATTTTTAGCTTTTGCTCTTTTGAGATTTGGTCTCCAATGCAGGGAAACAAAGCTTGAAGAACATTGCCTTTCTTAGTTGATATGTTAGTATAAACTAAAATTTTGTCAATATAGCAGAGATAAAGTTATGTGTGTCTTTTCATAAGTTTGCTGACAAACCATATGAAGAGACAAACATAATTCGTTTACATTGACAATAACTGGCCTTTCTCTTCATTTCCTATGCATTGGTTTTGTCTCTTTCATCTACACCCACCGCAATGTATAAATCAGCAAGGAAAAACACACTTATTTCTGATCTATTTGTTGCAGATGGTGGCAGCATTGGATTGAATATGTGAACCAAGACCAAACAAACAATGCATATGATGGGGCTTCCTTTTCAGAGCATTGTGATTTGGCTAATTTAAATGCTTTAAAAAGGCCATCTGGTATTGATAATTCTGATTTGATATATGATGGAACGTCTGAGGATTCTGGGGCAGGTGCTGAGATCCATGATACTTTGTTAGAGGGCAGAGACTATGTATTGCTTCCCCGAGATGTTTGGAATCAATTATATTTATGGTGAGATTGCTTGCTTGTTGCTCAGGTTAAATCCACTTCGTCTCATTAGTGAAAATAGTTACCCCCCCCCCCTCCTGATTTCTTTCTTTTCGTGGTATCTTTCAGCAATCTGCTGGTAGGTACTAACTTGTTGATGGGTAAACCTGATGTCATCCTGAGCAGTTAATTGTTAAGCTGCATGTTAGATTTCATTTGCCCTTGTTTGAAAAAATCAAGTTCAGTTGATTTGAGCCATAAGAAGGGGGGGGGGGGGGGATTTTGATATTTTACTGCTATTGTATGAAGAAATGATGATTTAGTTGTGTGGAAGAACTAAAACATATGAAGGAATTGCAAATTTGATTTCTGGTCGCATTCCTCTATGTCCTAAAAAGAGAAGATGCAATCAGTGAAATCATTATCCAGTGCATATCCATCTATTAGACAATATAGCTATATTACGATGTTTGACAATAATGGCGATTCTATTGTTTTAGGTATGGTGGTGGTCCTACATTGGCCAGGAAAGCCATTTGTTCAGGTCTTTCACAGACAGAATTGGCCGTAGAGGTGTATCCTTTAAGGCTTCAGTTACTTGTGATGCCAAAAGGTGATCGGGCCACTATAAGAATAAGCAAGAAGGTATGATGTGACGGGAAATAATGAGCCAAATTATAATTTCAGCACTTGTTGCAAGAACCTTTTTGTTTTTTTTTTTTTGTTTCTCTATTTACCTTAGAGTTGAAATGTTTTGGGCAGGAAACTGTTGGACAGCTTCACCGAAAAGCTTGTGAAATATTTGATCTTCAGTCAGAACAAGTGAAGCTCTTTGTGATTCCTTTTGAAACTGTAATATCAAGAAATGGTTTTTAACCTTCAGCATGTAGTAATCAAAAGGTTGCATCTGTTTAGGTACGCATTTGGGACTACTATGGCCGTCGGAAGCATGCCTTGATGAATGACATGGACAAAACACTTGATGATGCCAATATACAAATGGACCAGGATGTTGGTCTCCTCTCACTCTGATGTATTGATATTCCTCTTGCTCTGGCTTACCTTTTGACATCTTTGTTTTTCATTGGTTTCTGATGAAACTCGTACAGATTCTTGTGGAGGTCCTTAACAATATGAATAGCATAAGTTCTGCTCAGGACAATGGATCTGCACTGAGGGAATCAAGTTCTGCTCTTGCAGAGCCATCCAAGTCAGGCTTATCAATTGGTGGCGGCTTATCTGCCAGCAAGGGAGCACCTAGAAACTATAACGCTGAGCTTTACTCATCTCAAAACCTGACTTCTACAGTTAGAGACGTAGATAATACTTGTGGAACCAGTGGTGTTAGCACGAGAGGTTCTTCAGGTGGTCTCACTGGATTGCTGAACCTTGGCAATACTTGTTTTATGAATAGTGCGATCCAGTGTCTTGTTCATACTCCGGAGTTTGCTAGGTACTTTCGGGAGGATTATCATCAAGAGATAAATTGGCAAAATCCATTGGGCATGGTTGTAAGTATTATATAAAAAGCAATAAGCTTGAAGTTGTTTACTTCTCTTTGAAAGTTTTCCTTTATGAAGCTTCAAGTGAGATTTTGTTTTGAGATAGATATGTAGTTTAGTCAATAGATATGTAAGTTAACCACATGGTCCTGGGATTTATTATTTCTTATATTGTTAAAATGCACGTCCAGTAGCTGAAGTGGCTAGCAGAGACTTTTGTTGATTTATCAATTTCTTTCACTCACTGATTCTGTATTTCATTTTAGAATTTATCTCAGGTTATGATCACAATCTAGATGGTTTGTGTTGGCCACACCAAGCAAGCTATTATTGTGAATCTGTGATCGTGCTTATCTATTATGATATCTTTTATACATTGAAAATGACTATCTTTACTGTTACATTCTATGAAGATTTTGTTCTTCATCTTGTTTGCATGTCTGTCTTTTCATAGGATTTTAATAATCACTTTTTCTGTAAATTCACAAAACCTTCGTTCAAAGTTGCGACTTCTTGGGCTCACCTTGATAGTCAATAGTTTCTATTCATCATCGGGAATGACTTTCTGCCTACTATATGATTATTATTGTGGGTTTTAGATCATAATTGATGAGTATTGCTTAACATCAGACTGACATTTTGTATACGTGTTTAGGGGTAATACAAAATCATACTTAGAAAATCATTTTTAATCTTCCTTTAATAGGGTGAACTAGCCCTTGCGTTTGGTGAGTTGCTTCGAAAGCTATGGGCACCTGGGCGAACCCCAATTGCTCCCCGACCTTTTAAAGCAAAGCTTGCACGCTTTGCACCTCAGTTCAGTGGTCACAATCAGCATGATTCTCAGGTTGGTTTGCTGACTGAAAGTTTGTACCATCTCTTTAGTTACTGTCATATAATCTTTATTAATACATGCTCATTATTTTCAGGAACTTTTAGCATTCCTACTTGATGGTCTCCATGAAGATCTAAATCGTGTAAAACATAAACCATATATAAAGTCTAGAGATGCTGATGGTCGACCGGATGAGGAAGTGGCTGATGAGTATTGGGCAAATCATATTGCTCGTAATGATTCGATAATTGTTGACGTGTGTCAGGTGGGTAAAGTGGGTTATTTAAAAATGTTTCATTGTCTTGTTGCTAATGGATTGATATTAGCTTGTCAGGAACAGCTTTTCCTCATATTATGGACTGACAATGCTGCATAGAGTGCCTTGCAAATGAAATTTGACATATATGTTTGTATTCCATGTAGAATAATTGAAGTGGTATGCCTTGTCGAGGAACTGTACACTTGTTTATTAATTCATTTTTATTTGCATCATAAGGTGGGGAATTGTGTAAGTTCAAGAACCGTTTTACTGTCTGCAAATGTGGTGGATCTTTAATAGGGTTATTTATGACGCCAGTATGTGTGTGGCATATGGAAAACCACTATGAAAGCAAATATGGCTTATAAATGGTTGCTTCCATGCATCATCAGGACCACTCTAGGTTTCTTCACAAATGAAGTGTGCTTTGTCCCGAAGAGAAAGACTGTTGTAAGTCGAGAAAATTATTCTTTCCAGCATGCATGGTTTTTACACCTTCTCTGAGGACATGTCTGACGTTTGTCAATGCTGCTGTTGTATGTCCACTATAACAACACAGGACTCCAGACTACTTGTTGAAAATGTTTTCAGTGTCTTCTTTGTTCTCTTGTTCTTGTTCCTATTGAATTCACCTTCTCATATAATTCTTCATTTGATAGGGTCAATACAAATCAACTTTGGTTTGTCCAGTTTGCAATAAAGTCTCTGTCACATTTGATCCTTTTATGTACCTTTCCTTGCCACTTCAGTCCACCACCACTAGGACTATGACGGTGACAGTTTTTACTTGCGATGGAACTGCCCTGCCATCTGCTTGTACTGTGACAGTGCCTAAGCAGGGGCGCTGCAGAGATCTGATTCAGGCACTTAGCAATGCTTGTTCATTGAAGCCTAATGAGAGGCTGTCGCTTGTGGAGGTGTGTGCTAGAATATATTAAACTTTACACATTTTTGCTGGAGTTACTGCTGTTTTCTATTCTAACTAGGTACATTATTATGTTGGTCTGCTATTTGCAGATACGTAACCATTTGATCCAAAGATTTCTAGAAGACCCTCTCATATCATTGTCTACGGTTAAAGATGATGACCATCTTGCTGCTTACAAGATTCCGAAGATCAACAAAAAAACAAAATATCTCCAGCTAATACACCGCCGTAGGGAGCAGTATGTATTTTTTCTCTCACTTACATGTCATATTATGTGCTAGTTATATGTGCCACTGAAGTCAACTTGAATTTGTAATAAAATGTTCAAATAGAAACTTTCTTAGGGAGTTTACTTATTGAGTAATTTTGTGCTGTATGAGGTAAATATGTGAGAGGAGTTTTGTTTTGTAAAGTACAAAAATGCTTTTTTTAAGCAGAGGCAAACAAGCACAAATAATAAACATATTAACTATGTAATTTCTTACATCAGTCGTTTTTTTACAATTGTAATTCAGGAAAAATATATTATTATATGGATTCTAGATATAGAACATTTTTTTAACTTTTTCATTAAATCTATGAATTCCTCTTCTCTGGACCCATGTTAAAGGTGAAATGGCAGGGCTGCATCACATTACATCATCACGGTGTACATTATATTGAACATAATTTTGTATGCTGTTCTTTTTGGTGTCTTTACTGCTTTCTGATGTTCCTCCATGTGTAAATTTTGTGTTCTAGGAATAGTGAGTCCCAGACCATATCAGGATGGAAACCATATGGAACACCTATTGTTTCCTTGATCTCATGCGATGATGCAGTCACAAGAGGTGATATACAGGTAATGGTTCATCGTATGCTCTCTCCTCTTTTGAGGAAAGGCAGTAATGTGGAACAAGCTAGTAATTCTGAATCCAGCATCCCAAGAGCAACATCAGATCAAGGCAGTGGGACTAATCCTGTCGAAGCATCTGCTGGAACCATGTCGTCAAATCTGCCAAATAAGGATGGCACTGATTCCAAAGCACCAATACCTAAGTTACCTCTTCAATTAGTGGATGATACTAATGCTTGCATTGATCTCTCAATGGGAGAGGAAAAAGTGGTGAAACTGTCTCCGTCTTCTGCAACAGTCCTAGTATATGTTGATTGGTCACAGAAGCTTCTGGAAAAGTATGATACTCAGCCACTTGAGAATTTGCCAGAAGTTTTAAAATATGGGCCTGCGACCAAGAAAGCTCGTACTGAACCTCTCTCTTTGTATACTTGCTTGGAAGCTTTTCTGCGTGAAGAACCTCTGGTGCCTGAAGATATGTGGTTAGTTTCTCCTCGACCTTCTCTCATCTGCAACCCTGCCCTTCTAGCCCATGTTTGATGAGATTAATATGGTGTGTGCATTGATAAATATCTGCAACTCTATCAATCTTCTCATAAGGCAATTATTGTTCTTGTTTGCCTCCAACAAATGTCACTAGTTTGGGCAATAAGCAAGTCATGCTAGAGGAGGAATCTATTTCCTCCTGGCCGTCTTTAGCTTCTTTGAGTTGTTGCTGGTTCTAAACTAAGGGTGATGATGGATGGTGATGTTGCACCTTATTGATTTTACTCCCATGGGGTTATATCCTCCTTTTATAAGTATGAAAGGTAATCGATGGCCCAAAGAAAGAGAAGGGGGAAAAAAGAATGAAAAGTGATCATCCTGTGAAGTCTTATGATAGTGGCATGATATTTTCTTTGAGCACTGGATTGGACTGGAAACACTAACAATTTTTTCGGTTGTAAACATTTAAATACCACCTTCTTTTTAGTATCCATAACAGGATAGCTAATGCAGCACGAAGGAAGGATATGAAGCACCAAGTTCTTAAACAAGCAACCTTGCTAGGATATGACTTAATTATGTGATTTATTGTTTTAGCTATTTGGCCTCCGGATTTGTACCTTTTTATCATCAAAGTATTGAATAACTCTCCTTGACCTGATCAAGCCTGTTGGTGTGAGCTAAAACGAAGATAAAGTTATAACATTTTATGGGCATCATCAGTGATTATATACACAACCTTATGGCTTAAGATAAAGGATTCCATGCATATGCTGCATTGTATTTTATATATTTACAAACACATCCTATTTGATTTTATGCTGCATAAAATTTTTGGCAAGGGAAGAAATTTTATAACTGCAGAAGTGATTGTTCTTAGCTATGGTGGTGCCAAATAGTAGTTCTATGTTAACTGTACATCTATCTGAATATGATATAGGTACTGTCCTCAGTGCAAAGAGAGACGGCAAGCAAGCAAAAAGCTTGACTTGTGGAGGCTTCCAGAGGTGCTGGTGATTCATCTAAAGAGGTTCTCATATAGCCGGTCAATGAAGCATAAGCTAGAGACTTTTGTTAACTTTCCCATTCATGACTTCGACTTAACAAATTATATAGCCAACAAAAACAACTCCAGACGACAAATCTATGAATTATATGCCCTTACAAACCATTATGGTAGCATGGGTAGTGGGCATTACACAGCGCATATCAAGGTAAGCTGAGAACTTTGTATTTGCTTTTATTTTCTGGAGTTGCTATGGCCTTAAAAGTTCCTTAGATTTTGGAAGATATATTCATAGCTTGGGTTTGGGTATTGTCACATCCTTTGCTTTTCATATTCAATCTTTGTCTTCGTCTTGGGCAAACTGGTTTCCACCATTTACATTTTACCGGATTTTTCTGTGTAGTAGCATTGCTGTCCTGATTGTGCACCAAATTTACTAATCAAGCATGAGATGTGTACTATCTTCGCATACTTTTATTCACGACCCAGTTTGTATACAAATTTTTGGTAAACTTGGGTGTGCTCAGGAGTTTCTCCTAACACTATCGTCACAATGTGCAGCTTTTGGAAGAAAATAGGTGGTATAACTTCGATGATAGCCACATTTCACCCATAAGTGAGGATGAGGTTGCTAGTGCAGCAGCCTACGTTCTATTTTACCGGAGGGTGAAGACTAATGATGCAGCCATCAGCAATGGGGCTTAGTCAGGCACCGATGGACCATTGTTACACCCCAAAAGCAGATTTCAAGGCCATCCATCTTCTCCATAAAAGTACTATTAAAACAAAGAGAAAGAAGAGAGAGAGAGAGAGAGATAGTTTAGCAATACCCAGATCATCTGGGCGTTTACATGTACGGAAGAGCACATGCCTATTGAACATACAAATGAGTTTTCACAAAAAAAAGAAATGTAGTATGTGGATGTAATTGATTGATGGCCTTTCTGTTTCAGGGGAAGGTTTTAAAATTGGATTCATGGGTTTCTGAAGTGGCCGCTGTATTGGACATTATTTTTTCCTTAGTCAAACAGGAAGAGTTAAAGATCTTGCCCTTATTTCTTTTGTTTTCCCTTTTATTTTTCAATATTTTCACGAATTTGCAGGATATATTAGATATTTACACCAGGGAAAATGCCTGCTTTGAGAGCTTCCTCATGCTTCCTCTTGGTTGGTTCTCTATTATTTTCCCTAAACCCCTTAAAAAAGAAGCCATCAATGGGCACAAATATTCAATGAGTCATTGGACGTTGGCGTAGGAGCTACTCATCTGATCAAATTAATCGTCCCAATTGAGTAGAGGAACAGATGATGAGGAAGCCTTTTCTGCATAATAATAAACATGGTAATCGTCGGCCCCAGAGAAACGGTTGCACCTTTTGAATGATCAAAAGTTCACTCTTGATTGAAACTAGAAGGGTTTCATGCTCTCGATTTGCATTATCCTCAACTTGATAAATGTTAAACGGATGAAAAAAACTAACGTCTTTTTACGTGAAACATTTTTGGTAATTGACCACGGAAACATAACGTCAAATCAGAATGTCTTAGTTCTCTAGTAAAATTTCAGAATTTGTTGATCAGATTTGTAATCATGCTCCTTCAACAGTCGATCGAAATTCTTGCATCACAAAATTCATACACTCAACTTCACTTATATATTAAATACTACTTTTTTTTAATATAAAAACTTGTTTGATTTTTTAGTTCCAAATATAAGACTTTATTTTTATATTTATCTATTTTTTCTAAACTAGTTCTTGTATAGATACACATATTAAAAATTCTATCAAATTGTAATTCTATCTAATACACATAGTAAAGTATCTTAAGAAAAACAACACTTATTTATTACAAATAACTAATTTAATTAATTTTTAATCTTTTTAAATTAGTTAATTAAATTTTATATTAAGATAAGATATAGTATACTTTACTCAAATTTGTATGTATGGTGGTTAACCTATTGTAATCCTCAAATTAAAGACAATTGGAGGTAAATGAAGATATAAGTTTTTGTTAGCTAATCACAAATATTAAACAACCTTATTTGAAGTATTATTGGATGTACATGAACGTTGATTGTTTGGAATCAAAAGTTATAGAAGGGGCCGATATTAATGGCGGGCACATGGCAAATGCTATCTTGAACGGGCAGTGTGCCCCATCAAATGGTCACATCAGTCTTTGTGGTGGTCCTTGTCACCAGCCAAACTCTGGCTCGACCGTTCTTTTTTCCTTGATCCTAGTTTGTTTTAGGAAAGTTTTTTTTTTTAAAATAAAAAAATAAATTCTTATAATGTTTTCTTTTTCAGATCAATTGATTAAACAGTTGCATTTTATTCAAAACCACCAAATATATAACACCTTTCAGACTAATCCATGTCCAGCTATCTAGGGTCCTCATTTAAATGCTATTCCCCCTGGGGTCATTTGGATGCTATATATAGACATTATCTGTGAGAGACTCTTTCTAGTTTTACCATAAGTGGAAAGCATTTCTAAATAATTGTCCCTATAAAATAGAAATCATGTCAATCAAAATACCAACAAATCATGCCGATCAGGAGTCACCCCCTGCTCTGTCCTTCCCATAATACTAATCGTTATTAGCTAATTAAATTGATCTTTTAAACCTTATCTTTTGTCCTTTTCTTCAGTCTAAACTAGGTTGCTAAACACTTCCCTTCTTTGCATTTTATATTATACTACTCTTCCGATTTTAAATATAAGACCCTTTTTATAAATGTAATTTAAACTATAAAAGAGTCTTATATTTATAACTGAAAGAGTACTGTATTAATTTTGATTTGTATATTTTGATTTTTATTGCTTTTTTGGTCATATACGTATTTATTATACTTTTTATAGAGAATTTAAACTTACGACTCTACACTTAAAAAATATTAACAAAAATGTTTGGTGTGATCTGGATTATGGGGTTTTTTGACCTTATCTCTATTATATGATCTAGTTCTCATTTTCTCAAATATTATCGGATTGTATGTATGCTTTTTAAGTGGTTACCATAGAAGAAATCTATTTTAGTTTATGTTCATCGTGTCATATCATCTTACTACTGCGCAAAACTAATAAAAACAACCTCTATTTAGTATAAAGCCTAAATCATTAACATGGCATGATAACATACAAATAAAAACGGGTGATAAAGTTAATTATTATTATTTTGACATAATTAGATTATAAACTCGAGGACTACGATGGCTAAATTAGTCTCGTGGTGTGGTTTGCTGATGTAACGCATGTCGTGTGTAAATCAGAGTCATGACTTTGTGACGTCACTTGTTGTTATAATTATAAGCACCATAATCCCTTATAATTAATGAGCTTCTTGTTAATTAAGGAAAAAGTTAACGGATTAGTTAATTGGCGGGTGGATTTTGATAGGCTTATTAATGGTTAGGCTTTACATGAAAACGACGTATCCTTCCAATCAGTTCCCGACCTCATTCACTGTTAGTCTGCATGCGCATGCCTCTTCAAGATCTTCTTTTTTAAAAAAATAGTTATATAATAAAATACAGATAATATTTTCAGTCTGGTGCATGCATCGTCACCTGTCATTCATATTAATATATCACAAATTAATATATTTTTGGAAAAAAAATTAATAAAACTTTTTAGTTTTTAGTGTCCGCCTTTCATCTTCAATCTTAATATCCTATTCTCATAGTCTTTTTTTTTCACCTTAACTATACTTCTTTTGTCCTATTTATTTATTTATTTTGAATGAAAAACTGTAAACTACTAACAACAAAGTTACGAGAAGGAAGCTAGAAGAATACAGGGATATTTAGCAACCTTTAAAACTAGTTTTAAAAGTACTTTTCTGTAAAACAAGATAAATTCTTTTATATATTTATTTCATAAAATGTAAAATACTTTTGAAATCATAGTTTGGTTTCTATCTAAACACCCCCTAATACTCCTAATCTCTCTCATCATCCTCCGCCTCCTATTGTCCTATTTATAATGTAGGAAGAGAAGATATTTTTTATCTTATTTATAGGGTACTAAAAGAAATTTTTTATATAGATATACAATTTCACTCTTTATTTATTATCATGTTAACTTTATTTAGATGAGGTATAATGTATATTAAATAGGGATAAAATTGAAAAGTTGTTAAATTTTAAGTGAGAGTTAATGAAATTTAAGGTTTTTCTTGGTCTATGTAAAACATGTTGGAAGTGACTTATAAATAGAATCAAATAAGTATATAATAATTACTCCTTTCATCCTATTTATAGGTAAAGAGAGAAGATGTTTTTGGTCCTATTTATAAGACATTGAAAGAAAATTTTTGTATGAATGTACAAGTTTACCTTTTATTTGTTATTATGATGACTTTATTTATATAAGGTATAATGTATTTAAATATGGATGAAGTTAGAAAGTTATTAAATTTTAAATGAGAGCTAATGAAGTTTAAAATTTTTCTGATTTGTGTAAAATATGTTAGAAGTAACTTATAACTAGGACTAGAAGAGTATCTTTATAATGGAATTGGAACATCCCAAAAGTCACTTTATAGTTTCTAATTGATTCTCCTAAATATTAAATTAAATACTATGTTTTTTTGCCAACAAATCAAATACCATATATTGCTATAGCTTGTTTTTTATAATGATGAATCTTATTTTTGACGAGACAAAACACAATGAATGCCTCGCACCATTTTCTCTGCTGCTATTATTAGCTGTTCACGACCTAGTTGAGTCCAAATTAAATGATTAAAGCTTCAATTTTCACGGCTAAATCATCAATATATATATATCCCTAAATAACTTATTCGTTAGCTCAACTAATTATCGTCATTTCTGCATTTTATTTAGTTTCTTCTTTAACATTTAATATGTCATTATCAATTTAAGACCATTTTATGGCACCAAAAAAAATTTGACGAATCACTTTGGATCAAATCCCTTTAATAACTGCTCTTTCTCTACAATTTTTGAAGGTCCCTCTCACGGCATAACGAAAAATTAATTAGAAATATTTTTAAACCATCAGTTTGTCCCTAAAAATACTTGAAGAATCTTCTACCCCAAAAATAAATAAATAAATTCTCAAGGAATCTCTTTGAATTAGTCCCTCCTGCTTGTTTTTGCAGCTAGGACCTTTCAAGGTCCCTCTCAGACTCTCATGGCATTAAGAAATAATAAAAAATAATTTAAGAAATTAAATATAACCAACGTAAAAAGTCACAATTAAGATATGAATGGAAAGTTGAGGAATTAAAATGATAATTAAGCTATTTTTGATCAAAATTAACGGCGTTGTTGAATGGGGGGCTTCTTTAGTCCAACAGTAAATTAATGCTTTACGTACACGTGTGAGCCCAAAAAAAAAAAGGAAGGAAGGAAGCAAGGGTATGTGATAAGTTAAGAATGATAGACTTTAATTTATATCTCTATTATATTTTATTATCATTTTATATTTATTTATGAAGTATGATAGTAGTGAGGATTTTTTTCCATCTCGTCCTTATCTCCTCTGTGAGTAGTGAATGTATATCAGTGGATGTATGTGTAACTAACTACAATAGCAGTCCACACAATAAATATTTTCAACCATTCAACGAAGTTATAATTAATGGAAGTGCATTTTTTTCAAACTAAATTAAAACCCATTGACGTCTCGTTCAGAATGTTTGGGGTAAGATCAAAACTATGATTTCAGAAATATTTTTATAGTGTACGAGGTAAATATATGAAAAAATTTGTCTCGATTATAAAAAAAATACTTCTGAAAAGTATTATTGAGTTTCCCAAACACCCCTTTATTCAAGTCTGAGCAGTTGGGGAAAAGTGTCATACATTAGATAAATTTAGGGTGAGGTTGGCCAAAAGGATAAATTTAGGGTGAGGAAAATCTATACTCGTCTGAAGCTATTTTTAAGTCACTTCCGATATATTTAACATAAACTAAAAAAAACCTCCCCGC